TCCCTTTCTCCCTTCCATGTCTAACAGCCATAGAGAAGTTGGGGATAATCAAAAGCAAATAAGGAAGAAAAATGAGGTAAATAGTAAAAATATATTCCTCACCCATCCATTCCCTTCCATCCTTTTCCCTTTCCCATCTTATTTCAATTTATAAACCTTTCTATAATAACGGTTCATCTCTAAAATTAATAATATACGAAAAAAAGAGAACGATTAACCACTATAATCTCCTCCCCCAATTAATGAATGACCCCAATTAATAATAAATGCAAATCCGGGGCCCGGGACCAGATTTCCACTCCACACAATTGATTTTCCATTGCGCCAATACTAAACCAATACTAACGTCTTGGAATCCTTATTAGGGGGCACTTTTGGCAAGCTTCCAGCCTCACTTTTCAACAGGTGGGTTCCTCAATTCCCCAAAAGGTTGCTTTCCCAAAAGCTGGCTTCTTAATAAAAGGTTGGGTTCTTTTGGCGGGTTCCCAAAAAGGTTGTTCTTGACTCTGTTGTCCCTGCCTATCCCTGACTCCCTGGCTGGCTGCGTTTGTCACCTGACTACAACAACTACATCAAATTTCCTTATTGAACCGCTTACTCGCGGACCTTACAATTCAATCCATTTCATCCAAATCCTACGTGAACCCTCACATTGTTGGAAAAGCAAAAAAAAAAGCCAACCCCAAAAACCCCAATTAAAAAAAAATACATTTTTGGGGGGATTTATTTATAATAGGGGGGGAGGGGGGGGGGGGCGTATTTATTAATAGGGGGAAGAGATTAATGAAGAAATGAAAAATGAAATTGGACCTTCTATCATTCATGATCTCTCATCGTCTTCCGTCATAATCATTCATTCCAAGAATTCTCAGAGACATACCACACACTTCCAAATCCTTAAATAAATAAAATAATATAATTATTGAAATCGTTATCCATAATAAAATTAATATTATATATATTTAAGCAAAACAAAGAATTTAATCTAAGCTCGCCTCGACACTAACATAGCCTCAATATCGAGCGCCCCCCGTCCGCCCTCCGCAAAAAAAAAACAACAAATATATACAAATTCCTATAATAACTCAACCGAGTTCCATAAGGTCGGAGTAAAGATCCGGGAGTCAAATTATACCTCAAGTCGTCCAGCTTCCTTTAGGCAAAGGTGTCCGAAACGAAGCAATATTAGCCTATCTCGAAACTTGCGAATTATTATGCTATTCCCCCTATTATTAATTTCCTTTACAAACATTCCAATACCCAAATCCGTTAAGAATTTCGATATCCAACGAATTTAAGAAATTTTTCATATTCTTCTCGTACCAAAAAAAAAGACGGCAAAAATATATATATAAACCAAAATATAAAGAATATTATTAATAATAAATATAATTTATATATTTTTTAAATATTTTCATAAACAAATATATCTATAATATATCAAATTACATTAAAATCAAATCAATCTATATATTCTATTAATAATATATTTAATTCCTTAATCCATATATTATAATATATTATAATAAAAAAATAATATAATAATTAAATATTATTATGTTATTTATTTAATTACAAATTCTAAAAATTGACATAAATATATATATATATAATTATATGATAAATTATTCAATAATAACAATTTAAATTATATATATTACTAAATTATTATTCTATATTCGCATAAATAGATATTACATTAAATGTAGGAATAATAAACCAAATCACATGTTCAATCCTTCGAATGCGGTATGTATTGAAAATAACAATTTTGACATGGTGTTGTTGATTGTATTTATGAACAATCTCCCTCCCCGAAAATATTGGATCAATCTTCACTTGGAAAGGTTACGCAGTTCAGTTGGCAGACAGCCAAATGTTGAAAATCGCAAAATCATGTATAGCATTGAGCTATCCATTTGTGATTGCTTGATTCAGCTTCGAATTATGACGCTAAATGTCCAAATGGACGTTGCTCTCATCTAAGGTGCCGCTGTAGTCCCATAAGGGGCGTGGTGTCACCCACAAACGGGATGGTGTCACCATGCGCAGCTGTCCTTGAACATCCGGACTTGTGGACTTTCAACGTCAACGTAGGCTCCACCTGAGTCACTGAAAGGCACGAAGTAGGCGGGATGAAAGCTAAAAAACGAAAAAATATGGCTCTCTCATGCTGGATCTCTCATGGTTCTCGTTGAACGGATGGTTCAGAATACCACAGAACATCGACCTCAACATCAAGGCAGCACACTTTTGCACACCAAGCGGAAAAAAACACAACACACGAGCACGAGCCTCCAGTTGAGATTTGGGTTGTCCTATGTTGGTTGTCACTTGCAAGAATCCCAGAAAAGGTACGTACAATAAAAACAATTAACAAGCCGCCCCCACCCGATTGCTCCTCGGTTGACAGCACCGAGCCTTGATCATCAAGGTAGACTGCGGTAAAACCGGCGAGATTCACCTTGCGAGTGACAGATGGAACCTTGCAGCGTAGGACATAGGACCCTCTCTTCCCCGATTTGGGGGTGGGGTTGGGTGGAGTCGGGGTGGCCGGGGGGTGGAGATGGGTATTGAAACAGGAAAGCGCCGTGGCGCTCTTTGTTGCTTATGGTTCATTCAGCCTGGGTCGACGTAACCTCGACCTGCCCAAGCTTAACAAGCGAGCCGTCTAAGTTGGTAATCGCTTCCACGTTTTGCTCTGTGCTTGATTTGGTTTAAAGGAAATCAGGGTCAACTCACTTTGTTTTTTGTTCTACCCTATGTTTATCAAGGGGTGCAAGGAGTCCTACAATAAGACCCTGGACTAGTCCTTGCTGGGCCCCGTTAGGTGCTTCGGCCCTATTAAAACTTGGGGGCGCTTCAATACCTTTAATACCTCATGACCATACGCAACATGATGGCCCGATAGTGTGCAATTGCTCCCCCCAAGGATGCACAACTCAAGCTGCCTGTGAATGATACCACTACAAGGCTTCCTTCCACTGTCCTGAATTCTACCTCGTTCCCTACCCATCAGACCCCAGCATTGTACAGCTTTGTTTATTTATGACGACTTATCAAATGTTCACCTTTTGGAACCCTGACCAAACCTGGACCAGCCATGGGAATCCAACATGTGAAAATCTCGGTTGTGGACAACTGTGAGAGCTAAACCAAAAGGTCAGATCAGGTCGATTCGTTGGTTGCCTTGACAACTGCACCTTAAAACCCCTTTGGAGATGCAACCCTTGCACGGCTGGTCTGACGAGCGCGCGGAAAGTTCCGCCTGGGGTCCGCAACAGCCACCGCCGCCGCCGGACAGGACCTCCATGCACTGGCCCTGCGGGCCCTTCCTGGCGAAAGAAACGAAAAGAACTCGTTTCAACCGGGTCACTTGGCCCCTGAAAGTCCACAACTAGCTCCTCCAGTAGAGAGGATAGAATAAGGGTACCCTTTCTCTGTTAGGGGAACCCTCCCCCAAAACAAGGGTAAAAGGCCACTAGTGGGGGACCTAGACAATATATAGGTTGCACTTTTCGTAAGCAAAAAGCGCCTGATTTCTCGATTTCGGTTGTTTGGTTGCGTGCAAGGGATGGACGAAATCATCAATTCACAAGGTGGGCTGAATCCATCAGTCCACTTGTGAAACTCCCAGTTCCACGATGCAAAGAAGGTAACGCTTGATATATATATATATACATATATGCACACATACAGCTGTATGCCAAAGAGCGATGAACACACACATATATATATATATATATAGTCAATAGGGAAGCCATCTTCGCGAAGCAACGTGGAATTGGGCTTGGGATTGCTTTGCAAGCTTTTGCCTGTTTCGGTACTTCAAAAAAGAATTCCAAAAGAACATCCAATATCTTGGGGATCCACCAGTGACACGCCCAATACTAAGGGCTATCTCTGGCAGTTGCCCAGTGAGCCCAGAAAATTCACCATTGTTAGCGGGGAAATTATCCAAAGACAAGGGGTTTGAGTGCCGTGAAACACTGTCCCTTTGGAGGAATCGATGTCGCTGGAAGCCAAACTGACACCAACAAAGGACACCACTGTGGATGGACGAAGTCCTGCACCCCTTGAAACCCTGGGAAACCATTGTCGGTACTTGCAGGGGAATCGAATCATTCCAGGGTTTCCCTACGGTGGTGCGAAATGAATTTCGAAACCATCCTCCGGAACTGGTGCCACTGAACCACTGGAAAGCTTAGACAATGTGAAAACCGCGATGGCAAGTGAGCACAGCAGGACACATCGCAGCGCTGATCGTGGACATGGCCATAGGCGCAAATGACCCTCACCTGCCGCCGGATGTTGGGCATGTTGGACATATTGAGCATGTTCGGCATGTGGGGGTTTGGGGGTTTGACCCTCCGAGGACAAACAAGAACATGTTGGAGGACAACATTCCTTTTGGACAGAAGGTGTGTGCAACTCTGCGTTTGCTTGGAGGGCAGCTGGGCACACCTCCTAAAGAAAATAAGAAAATGGTCTCTTTTAGTTTCTCCTAAGAACATGTGAGCGGGGATGTGTGATTCAAACACTTGCCAAAGGAAGCCAAAACGGACCTCTCCAGTGCAAAGCCGCCCGGTGTTCACTTGCAGCCAGGGTATGTAAGAACTGCAGGGGTGATTTGGAGAGTAAAAAAAACCTGGCGCTTTGGCCCCGGCTGCGTTTCTCCCCCAATAACTCAAGGGGTCCGAAAGGCTTTGCCTGTTGTTGGGGGTACCCGTTTTTTGTGGGGTTTTAAAGGGAACCCAGAAGGACGACCGAAATCCATTTTGGAGGGGTCCGATTCCTAGCAAAGACGAGCCAACCAAAAGTGAGCCATGCCAAGTTGCAAGAGCTTCCTGGAGCATGCCTTTTCTTTGCCTTTTCTTAGCATGGTCTGGTGCTGGCAAACTGCTTCGCAGTTTGTCCGCGAAAGAAAGAGCCTTCCGGAATGGCACAAGCAACCGTGGCCAAACAGCCAAAGATAGCCAAACCGAGCCCGGTCTTTCCAGTCATCTATCTTGCGGATACAGAAAAGCCACGAATTCGTCATAGTCGACATGCCCGTCAGAATCTGCGTCCATGACGGTGCAAAGAATCTCGACCTCCTGAAGATGGCGCAACGCTCCAAGTTAAACGCCTAAACAATCTTTGGACCTGTGAGAAGGCAAGGGCCTTTCGAAACTTTCTCCCGATTCCACACCGATTTCGCCGATTTCCAACTCACTTCCTGAGTGGATCTGCCAAAAAAAGTCCGAACTTTTTATGTACCACTAAAACGGTCCAAACCCGAAAAGTTTAAAGTTCAGGAACTCAGGAAGTGAGATTTCCAAGGGAGCAACATAGAAACCATCAAAACCTTTCTTCCGATTCCGCACCGATTTCACCCGATTTCCAAGGGAGCAACATAGAACAAAAAACTCGGCACCTCCATCTCCAATGCTTCTTGTCAGCCGCGCCCAAAGTCGCAAATGCCCCCTCCTTTGGGCTCATCTTGCAGGCGTCGCAGAGGATTCTCTGAACTTCCGCCTGGTTTCACGCTTCCCATGAGCAAATCCCCCCAAGATCCCCCCAAGAACGGGAGAACGGGCTCAGTTTTTTCCCAAACACATCCAGCAAAACAGGGTTCGTTGAGGAGTTGTTCCCTTCCTTGTCAGTTTCCCTGGACTTTTCTCTTTTACAAGCCCTCACAAGTTGGCCCAGTGAGTGCTCTTGGACACCATTCTCCAGCAAGGAGGTCACACCTCTCCCCGCATTGGCAAATGGTCGCTGCTGACTTAGGTGCTATCGGAGCCGAAGTACCCACCGCACAAAGAGAACAACACACAACAAGCAAACGCCACCTCAAAGCAGCCTTGGAGGTTGATGCACTTCGAGTTGCGTCGGAGGTTTCACTCTGACAAGCGAGCCTGTCTTTTGAGGGTGCCGTTTTTGTTTGTTGTTTTTGGGGGGATGGACCCAAAAGGGAAACCACCCATTTGAGGCTAGAGTTCCCACATTGAGACAACGCCCAACGCGTTTGAAGAAAGTTCCGGCCTTGGAGATCAAGCCGTTGCCGTTGTTGTCCCAGGCGCGGAAGGAGGCCCTGCAGCCGGTGTTGCCCTTCCCACATGGAAGCTGACGGATGGCCCTTTCGAGGGCCATCGTTGTGAGAGATGCAGGGAATGAGAAATGGAATGGCCCCGAGAAAAATCGTTACCATCCCCGAGTTGGTTTCCCCCCCAAGGTTCCCAACATTCCTGAGCACCAGCAAGTTTGAAGGGCCCTTCTGTCAGCTTCCATGTGAGGAAGGGGGGAATTCCGCCCAAAGAGACCCTTCAAAATGGCTTCCACGAATCTCCACGCACAATGTACCACAAACCTTCACCATCATGGCCACTGACACAGAGCCTGTGCAAGCCTACCATCTTGACAAGCCCCTCAAGGTCCAGTGCCATGATTGTTTGAGCATTTTGATAGGTGTCCCTTTTGGCGGGACAATGTCCAAAGTTTCGCACGCCGAAACATCCATGGCAACCAGCGACATCGGCTTGCCAGCTCCCAGCCTGACCACATCCGAGGCAGAACCTGCCCCATTCAAAAAGTCGCGACTGCGAGACAAGAGTGACCAAACTCAGGCTTTGCCAGCTTTGAAACACTGCATGCCGGCGTCGCATTGGTTTTATCTCGCTTTTCATTGGGGAAAAGAGGACTGCACATGTGTTTCAAACATGTGGTCCAAAACAAAAAGCCTCTGAAGCCTCGTTTTGTGAACAAGCCTGCCCACAACAGATCAAGCATACACTACGGCGCAGGAGTTTGGCGGGAAACGGGGCAACTGCAGAACTACTCGGTTGAAAAGTGCCTACGCGGTGCAAACTCGCAAGTGTCAATTCGATTCTGCGCGGTGCCTACGCGAGAAGCTCCGCCAAAAACTGGCTACGCGCCGTTGCGGGGTGCAGTAATATGTCGACGCGGAGCCTCTACATTTGCCCTTTCAACATTACTTTACTTAGAGGAAGCTGCCTTCAATTGGCCCAAAAGGCGAGGTTCAGCCCGACAACATGAGCTTCGCTTCATCCCGTATCCCTTGGCCTGCCGGGGTGGCGAGAAGCGAGCGCGGCGCAGAGCAAATGGCGGGAAGATAGAAATACAACACCTAGGTCCTCCAGTGGAGAGGTTAGAATAAGGGTACCCTTTTTCCGTAGTTTATTTTAGTAGGGGAACCCTCCCCCAAAAAAGGGTAAAAGGGCACTACTAAGGGACCTAGACACTGAAAGAGAGGAAGCCAAAACTGGCAGCGGGAATGGCGAATTGAACAGAGCATGGAAACCGTTGAACAGAAACACCAGCGAAGGCGAGAAGGGGTGGGTAGCCACAAAAAACAGAAAGACCTGAGTTGCAAGAGCTGAGCAGAAGATGGGGTGGCCCATGATGCGATGAACATGTTCGTTCGAGTTGTGAACCCCGAGTGCAGTTTGAATCCTGTGAGGCTTGCCTCCCCAAAGAAGCTAAGTCTGAGAATACTCTCGCCAGTACAGCTAGCTCTTGTGAAATGGGCGCTTGTTTGCGGCCTGGTTGACTTCTTGCGCGTCGCTAAAAAGGGCGCCATTTGGTTCATCCAGCTGGACGCGGCTTCCCAGCCTAGCTCCTCTTGGAGCTTGCTGCTGATCAAGCCCCGGTGAGTGATCATCATCCAGGTCTCAGCAATGAGCCGAGCCCACCGTGCCCGCTTTTGCCTTTGGCAAAAGCGAATGCCTCAAAGAAACCCAAGCACATGCGGCCAGCCCCAAACCTCCGGAAACCCGCCCTTACCCCTTAAAACTCCCTGCGCCCTGGGGAAGTTCTCTTCAGACAAAAAACGCCCATGTTACCCCCCAAAAGTTACGAAAAGTCTCGTGTTTTTTAAGAGGTAAAACCCGCATAAACCGACCGGGCCAGGTCAAAACCGACCGGGTTTCTCCTCCAGTCCGCCAAGTGGTTTGCCCGGAGGCTGGCGCCACGGCCATCCAATCCAGCCACGGTGCCACAAACTCCTCATAGTCGATGCTGCCATCCCGATTCGAGTCTGCCTGGATGTGCAATACGTGAAGATGGTTCACGCACGTCGTTGGCAGAAAGTGGGCTCAAATGAATTGGCCAATCCTGACCTATAATCCCTGGTGCAAAAGCACGTAGAAACTGGAAGCTCCAGCTAGCCCAAGAACAAAAGCTTTGGGCGAGCCCCTTCTACAAGCAGGATCTTCACTCAGATTTGATGTCGATCTCATGTCGATCTCATGCAGTTCGGCTACTTTTTGCTGGACTAAGTCTCAGCAGCCTCCAGCCTGGCTGCTGTACTCACGAACAGTTGCGTCATTCATGGAAAGAGTGCAAATGTATCTTTCTACTAGCTGTCACGCAGGAAGAAACCGCCTCCTGCATCAGCATCTCCACATCTGCCGCCGTCACCGTGACAATCTCAGGAAAGGTTCGACACAAAGGCAAGACCATAAAGTGCATTGCATAAACACGTATCGCCAATGTGCGGTAGCCTGCTGCAATTGCAAAGCCGGCGCAGCGTCCAAACATGTCCAAACGAAAGATTGACACATGCTTCGGACGCATTGGCCTCTTCAATGCGGATCTGCGACCTATTTGGGTAAACCCCCCCAAACAAAAATCATCCAATACCAAATGGTCGGTTGGCATGCTGGTCCCCTACCCAACATCCCTGTGCACACAGAGGCTGCTGCCAAGCGCCGCATCAGCGAACCGACCTCGTGCTTGCCTTGGTTAAGCACGGTTCCCATTTATCTTCTAGAACCATGGGTTCAAGTCCACATCCAAACCACCAATACCTCATTTCCGTTTGGAACAGTTTGGGGGAAACCCAGCAACTTGTCAACTATAAAACGGTCCGGGTTCCATGTGGACCGACAGCCCCTCCCCAGTTCCCACTAAACCCGTCCGCGATGCTGAGGGTGCCGTTGCCGTTCGTGTCGGCTGCCCGGAAGGTGCTTCGCAGCACCTACGAGTGGCCTTTTGTCACTTGGCCTAGGGGAGAGTGGGGGCGGGGCGGGGGGCAAGGGAGCCCAAGGAAGGAATTACTTAGGGCTCAATAAGAGCTCCCTCACCCCCTTCCCCCCCTCCCTCCCAGGCCCCATGATTTTGGGCATTTCCGAATGAACATGCAGGTGAGTCATAATCAAACCCGATCGGCATTAAAATGGTCTACCCACCATGTAAAGAATTAACAATCCATGATCGCCCCTATTATGGTTTGGACCATTCCTCAACAATATCCATCTCCCGGGTTTTCATTGTGGCTCATGTAATTCACCGAATGGGTTTGGATGAATCTTTCCAAATAAATTTGCGGCTTGTGACAATTATTTACAGAATGGCTTTTCAATTGAATAGAAAGCCAATTTGTGGTTGGTTGAAAATACTAGTGAGCAATGGCACGCTGGCCGCACAACAATCGCAGTGGGCATGTTTCATCACGCTGTTCATGCGGGGTACTTCATTGTCCAATGTCGTAGCCATGACATGAACGACTACAATCAAACGTGACACGTCTGTCAGACTTTTGTGAGCTTCCTGCCTGCTTCCTCATCTCATCACTAATCGTCACGACCTTCTTTTCCAGTGATTCCAGCATGGGCGTCTCTTTCTCAGGCCGGAAGAAGCGTGGTATCGCCTCTGATGTCGGCACCTGCCAGTGGTGCAAACGCTCACAGATGTGGCGACTCCAGTATTTCAGAATGGCCCTAGGTCACATTTTCCCCTCAAGTCCAAGTGTTCCCTGGTAAGGATGCATTTCAACTCCAGCACGCCCCTTGCCACCCCGGAAGCTCCGCTTCATGCGACCTTGAGGGACCACTGGTCTCTGTGAGCCGGACCGTTCATTCTCCTGATTGATGTCTCGCAGAGAACACCCGGCTAAGATGCCCGCGGATGACACGAGGTGCGTCGCTTTGTGCTCCAGCATGCCAAAGAAGCGCTTAGCATGCTCCTGGCGATGCAAGTCACAGCATATCACAGTCAAGCCCGATATTCAAATTGTCCAAGAAAAACAAAACAAACACCAAACAACAAACAAACCAAAAAACAACAAACAACAAATACACAACAAACAATGCGGCCATAGCTGCATGAATGGATGGTTGGGACTGTCCCTTGCCCTTCAATTCTGGTTGTTGATCCTGGCTATGGCAACTAAGCCCATACGCGAAGCACACCACCTGCAAAAGGCCACGAATGCCTTTTAATTTGCTCCTGGTGCAGGAAGACCCCCTGGTCATTGAAGCCAATCCGGCTGCTGCTGTTGGGCACTTTCCAGGATTTCTTGTCCGGGCTCTCGTGCAAGTACCTTCGGCTGCAGAACGGCTAAGTCCGGAACAAGGACACCAACAGCTAGAAGTAAAGCCTGGTATTCAAGGGATTCAAAACCTTGCAACAATCAACAGAACGGCTTCACTTTCTGGTCCTCACTGTCTACTAATCCTCCACAATCCAGGTTTTGATTGTGGCTCATGGCACGTAACGCGGCGCACTGGGACAATGCCAATTGCTCGACAGTGGAGAGCCTGACAGTCGGCTGCTTCCATTGAACGGATGCCGAGCGTACTGGGCTGCATCTTAGCAACTACTTCATACTCCACCTCTGACCCTGCAATGCAGAGTGACTTACACTCTTCAGTGGGACAAAGGCTGCGATTTTGCCGCGGTTTCCTCGCATACCCAATTTGATCTGCCGCAGAAAGTATCACTGCCGAGGTACAAATGGGCCACGCGAGCAGGATCAAACTGGAAGCTTTCAGGCGGGACCGCTTTGCTTGGTAGAGGCAACACGCCTTTGCCTCAACCTTTTGGGGATGCTCTAAAAGGAAGCCACCCATGTTCAAGGGCTTCCCTTTGAGGCATTCTCTGTTGTTCTTCACGCCATGGATTCATATCTGCTAGAGGGACTGCCCAAACAGCACCTAGCTATGGTACAGCATTCTTTCCAGGAATCCTTTCCAAAGGAGAACGGATGCAATCAACCCATACCTACCCCCCAGAAATCAACATCAACCCCCTACTAGACACGATTAGAGTTAGGCCCAGTTCTAGAATCGATTCTTCTTGTTTGCTGCACTTGGTTGTTTGCTTCACTTGGAGCCACTGGTAAAATGTCCAAATGTATCCTGAGTCCCCAGCAGAAACGAGGAGTCAACCACTCGACCTCCGAGCCGAATGCGCCGAATGTGCGCGAACTCCGCCTCTGCCAGGCTAGGCGGTCAACTGATTGTATCCTCACGTGCTCCAGGTCCTGCGCAGGGCTGTCGTGGTGGGAAAAGTCACGTACTCCGTGCATCCCCAAAAAGCACACCGAAGCCATTGGGGGGGGGAGGGGATTTCCCTAAGAAGTGGCCGCAAACATACTCTTCCATTTGCTTCTTCGCCCCCTGGAGAAAAAAATACATTCCCAGTACTGAGAGATTCCCTTTAAAGCTAGCCAAGGAAAACAAAACATGTTCTTAAGCAAATGGATGTACTCCGTGGATCCCAAAAAAAAGTGGGCCTAAAACCCATATTTGCCAACGGAAAAGTCGGAATCCGGACTGTTGGAATCACAGGAAGTGGGCCTAAAGCCGTATATATTTTCCACAACTATGCTCCGTGCCCTAGGAAAATATGCGGATTCCACTCTCTGTCATTCCATCTAATTGTGTAGGCAACCAAGGGAAACGCTGTTAAACGCTGTTACGTAACTGGGATCCCCTGGGAATGCATCACTACGGCCGGGCAAAACAAGAAACACCCAAACCTCCCGAAAGGGCACCTGAGAGGTGAACCCCCACCAGCTCCAGGCACCAACCAGAAACCCTTCGGACCAGGCAGGCACAAGACAAGAGGAGTTTGAAGACATGTTCCCACAAGTTGGTGTGTTTCTTGTTTTAGGGTACCCCGTGTTTGTGTTTTTTTTAAGCACCATTTTGTTGCGGACACCTTGCCTCCAACCAAGTGACAGCTGAATTGCATTGCCTTGAAGCTTTGTGTCAAGCCACATTCTGGCTTGTGGATAACAGAACCGATCTGCGCCGATCGATTGTTTGAACGTCAGCCATCTGAGGGGATGGGGGAAGTTCACCCTCTCTTGGCGTGTGTGCATAGTCACGCATATGTGTCCAACATGTATACACATAGGTTTCGAACAACAGCCACATGTAAGTACGCATAAATGGCAAGGCAACCCACATGCTTGAAATGTGCGTGTGTGTTTGTGGTCGGTTTCTAGTCGGTTTCCTTCCCACAAAAAATCCAGCCAAAAAGGGTCCGCATCTTGATATATAGGTGGGAGGTCAGGAGAACATTTTTTGCACAGAAGGTTCAAAGTAACTGGGCCAATTTTCTGCGGCCCTCAACAGTAAACCCCTCCACAAAGGAGGATGATTGCTTGTGATCAGAATCTTGTACAGTATCGTATCCTGCCTGGGACCTTTGCACGCAACAACTCGGCACCCTTTAGTGAGGGTCTACTCTGTTGGGGTGGGGTTTTTAGGGGACCAAAAGGAAAAAAACACCAACTCTCAGGGTCTCTTATCTTGCTTGTTCTCAGCAGGGAATGAGGGAATGCCCCGGATAAACAATCCCTTGTGGCTTCCGTTTATTCGGGAATCTCCAAAGGGTTCTGTCCCCACCACCCGGAACGATCATCACCTACCGCCTATCGCACCAAGTCCCATCCTTGAGCAGCAAGCGATCGCGGCCCGGCACTTTCAGCACCGGCTCCATGGCACCCGTCGGCACCCGAGGACTTGGGGACTGGGGGCAGTCGCCGCGTGGGAAGCTTTGGCCGGCTTTGGGCCTCTGTTGCGGCAGGCGGGTGTCCACTTTTTGGGGGGAACCCCCCCCAACACAAAATGTGGTTTTCATGTTGGTTCCCTTTTGAAAACAACAAACAACGGATACCCTTACAGTTGACGTACGCAAGCCGAAAAGGTTTCTATACCCAACTACTCGTGGATTGCCTCCTTGACCGAACTTTGGGTGGCGTCTGGGAAGTGAGTCAAGTGAGTATGAACACACGCCGACAAAACCATTGCAGCAACAGCCCCACAAACAAAGAATTTGAAACACAGCAAACAGAAACACAGAAACAAACAAACATGAACATTGCTATAAATAGGCCTGTAGGCAACCACGAGTTCGACACATTTCAGCACAAAAGTGGATTCCAGCCCAAAAAACGGGTCCCAGCCGTTTGGACGGCGTGTCCTTTCGGAATCATGAATCCTGAAACCCTCAGCCCCGACACAAAATGAGCCCTTCAGCTTCCCGCCTTTCCGCGACGCCACGCTGGAAGTGCCTTGGTTTCAGTCTTCTGAGACCCGAGCCCAGTGGACGAAACTGACAAGATTCAAAAACTGATCGCAGGCCGTCCGAAGGGTTGGGCCAACAACTTTGCACATGATTAAGCCAGTGTGGTTTACACATCTCAGATCATCTTAGTTACGTTTTTTTTTCAACAGGACTCCACGTGAGCTGACAAAAGCGAATCCACTACACGCTGGCCATCGGGGATTCAGTGGTTTGCACTGGCAACGTGCCGATCTTCTGAAATTGCCACGAGGATGTGCTGGCAGGAATTCAACTAGACGGATGCTGTCGAGAAGCAAACTCCACTCTATGTGGTAGTTGCTCTGCGAATCAACTTGCCATATCGTAAACCAACCCAGAGGGTCCAAGTCCTTCATGAGGATGGCTTTTGGAAGTAAAAAGGGGTCTAAGTACCTGAGAAGGTACTTGGACCCTCTAGGCATGATGGAATATGCCGCAAATATGCCATTGTCACCACGAACGAAGACTCACACCTGAAATGAGCCGTCTCTCGGCACCTCTGCGATCTTAGCCCCTCCATTGCTCTTGCTTGGGCCAACACTGGGATTGTAATTCATACCTGGCCACCCAAACCCTGCAACAGCCCGCATCCTGCGACAACCTGCAATGCTTTACACTGGCCAAACCAAAATCAGATGTCCAGTTGCAACAGGACCCCCGCCCCATTTTGAGATTCAGAAGTCGCCTATACCCAATTTCATGCTTGCTTCGGAGTATCATGTCAACTCCTTGTTAATAAAGAATCAATAATAATCTCTCTCAGCTCGATTCGAGACTCGCAGCCTTCGAACCCGAGGCATCCGCGTTTTCAAAGAGCGCACGCGGACACATGCCCGGGTAGTGCTGAATAATGAGCACGGTGCTGGCCTAGCTGAAACATCAGGCGCGCATCCATGCCAAACAACTGGGGTGAAGTCCAAGATGTTCTCGCGTGTTTCCACATCGTCTCCAGCTAAAATAAGCGGGACATGGGGAACTTACCCTTGGCTCGCGAGGCGGGCAATTCACAGCTGAGATGCCAAAGCGTTCCTCGCAACATGGAAGCTGACAGGAGGGCTTCTACAACTGCAGTCGTGCCAGTTCTGTTGGGGGAGTTGTCAAACATGTGGCCCCTTTTTGGACCCGCTGCCGCCCCCGTGCCGCCTCTTAAAGAGAAAACCAAACGGGGCCCGGCAATCTTTTGACAAACACACTTTTGAAAGAGGGTGGGTCAACCCAAACCGAACATTGAACTACTCACAAAAGGGACAGCAGGTGACAGGCCAGTTCCAAGGGAACAGGGAACATGGCAAGAGCCCGACCGACTAGGGTTACATAACTTAGATTCGCACACGGAACTAAGCTTACACTCAAACAAACTAGGGCTGTGATCAGAGCTTTGGTCTCGTCAATCCGCCCCCAGCTGGAACTCAGTGCTCGCACTCCACCCAAAGGGGGTAGCGCAATCAGCAGGTAGCTCGACCCCCTGCTCCAAATACCCCCTTTTTCTAGGGTATTTGTTGGAAAGCCTGGTTTTTCAAGGCAATACCTCCTTTTTAGTAGATGGTCGACATGATACCCTTGGAGTCGGGGGGTGCAAGGCGGGCGCCTTATTGTGAGACCAAGGCCTGGGCCGTGCTCTTTTGGGCTCTCCACACCACCAGGTCATCGCCCGCCTCGCCGGGAACCAAGCGAAGCGAGTCGTGGACATTAACATATGATTCTCCAGCTTTAAAGATCCAAGATGCTCATGGACACCAATGTCTTATTCTAAAGTTATACGGATGACTTTGCAAACATGCTCTATGCTGACAAACACCATCCATGTCTTGCACTCGTGGATTCTGCACAAGCACACACGGTCAAAACTTAGCACCTCTGTTCGGCACAGCTGAAAAATGGAAGGCGACAAATCTGCCAAACATTTGGAGTGCCCAGTTCAACCACAAGTTTGATCTTATTCTTTTAAATCGGGTTCTCAAGGCTCATGGGGGCTGGGGAGGGAGGAGAGGCGCGAGGGAGCTCACACATGGCCCTGTGGCGCCTTATTGAGCTTGCTCCCCCTCCCCTCCCTCCCCCAATCAAGGACTCAAGGCCCAAGCTCACCAGGTTTGCTCATGATCTGATGATGCGTGAGACTAGGGCGCAGGTTCCCCAGAAACCAGCCAATGGTGCGATGCTAGGCACTGGACGTGCGCAAGGCACTGTGTGCCGGCTCTTGCTCGCCATTTCATGGTGGCAACTTTCAACGGAACATAACAGAAGTCATAACACTTTATTGTATGAACGTGTCTTTGCTTAGGGGGCCAGGGGACCCCTTCAAAAAAAAACAAAGAACAACAAGCCCTTTGAAACCAGAAAAGAAAGGTACCCTCAAAAAGACGAGCCACCCATATAAGCCTTCTGAGCATGGGGAAGCTTGGATGGTTTGCCGGTTTGAAGAAGCATGAAGAAGCCCAACTGGTGTCAAAAAACATGGGTGTCCTTTCAATCCCCATTTCGAGGCAATGGAAGTCATCCATCGCTGATTTATGCTGGTTTGCTGTCCCCTTGGCGTTGTTTTTTGTTGTGGGGCCGGGACGCGGGGGAGGGGGGGGGGCTGGTTTGCTTTCCCTTTCCTTTCTTCCATTTGCTTAAGCCCCCGGAACAAAAAACATAAAAAATACTCCCAGTAGTGATAGATTCCCTTTAAAGCCAACAAGGGAAATACCAAATATTCATTTCAGCAAGTGGAAGCTTTGGGAGGCAAAAAACCAGCAGCCCGTTTTGAGGCAACATCCGGAGAGTGGATGTGACGAACTGCCGCGGCCTTGGCCACCTTCTTGAGAAAGGCGTCCGAGACCGGTCGGCCTGACGCGTGTGTCATTCGGGTGCGGGTGATGATCTGATGATGCGGCAACCGGCGGAAGGAGAACCCAGGAGTAAAACAAACTATGGGTATGTTGTTTGTTTTTTGTTTTGTTTTCCTTTCCAGGGTAACCCCTTTTTTGGTTGGGATTTTAAAGGGAAACCAAGAGGAACACCACCGCTTTGGGGGTGTGCCCTAGAAAAAGACACAACACTATGCACGTTTTTTTGTCAAGAAACATAGGTTCATTCATCGGGGTGTCCCTTTTCTTGCAAGGAATCCTTCGGCATTTTGGAGGAACACCATCAATCCGCCACGTCCACCGATTTGGACAGCACAACGCACATCTTCGAACTTCCTCCAGGGCCTGGTGAGTTCTGAACCGCTCGTGGGACCATTCGCTCCACTTCAAAGGGCAAAACCCTCGTCGTCATGGAGCAAGGACACATGCCTGCACCCCGCCTCCCCCACTCACCCCACTCACCTCACTCACCCCACTCACCCCACCCACCCCCGGTTTTCCGGACATCCTTCCAACAGCATCCTGCGCCCAGGTTCCGCTGAAGGTAGCCCGCGCCTCCGCAAAGGTTGTCGGCAATGCCTCGAGCTTGCCTGGGCAAAAAAATGACAACAAACGGACGCGCGCAGGCAGAATGGCGAAAAACTGCGGCCCAAACTTTCCCAAGGCTTGATGCGGTGCGTCGTTGGTCAAGAATACCCTTTCTTTTAACAGGGAAACCAGCAGAAAGCTGGAACATCTAGCAATTCTCTTGCTCCGTGCTTGAATTCACGTGGTCATGAAACACGCTGTATTCCCGCGCATGTGTCCTGGCCGGCGATCCGAATCCAAGGAATCGGAAATCTGACAAATCTGGAGCTCCAAGGCCGTGACGGGTTGCCGGCAATGATATTGGGGTCCATCTTGCCGTTGGTGTCGACCATGATTACCTTTGGCTCCAGTGGAAACTCACACCCCAATTTCTCAGTTGCTCAGTTTGGACCGGGTCCAAACGAGGGAAACCAAAAGGTCAAAAGGACGGCTTCGGGCAAGAGAGCAATTGGACACCTGAAGTCCTACTAGAAGGTTTCGTGTGTTTGAAACAGACCCCGACATACTGTGGATGGACGAAATCCTGCACCACTTTGAAACCATGGGAAACCATTAACCATTGTTTGTTGGTATTTACCAGGGGAATCGAATCATTCTAGGGTTTCTTGGGTGCTGCGAAATGGATTTCTTCCATCCACAGTATCCACAGATCCTCAACTTGCTTCATGTGGGGCTTCCCAGGATCGCGAGCCATCTGCCTGCCTCGAGACTGGCGTCCGGGATCTCGTAGTGATAGTTGTAGTCCGGCATCCAGAACGGCCTGCTCAGTTTCTGAGCTGGCGACAGATGGCCTATGAATTTCTTGACATGCCGTGGGCAAAGAGGTTTTTTGGGATTTCAGCCAAACAGACATAATAGCATGGATTTGGCCGTAACTTGGAATTGGTGGCCAAGCAGTCGAAATGCATTCGACACCCGTTGCATACGGACACGTTTGATGGTCTCCTTGGTGAATCAAATCAATGACTGAACGTCAATGGCTTCTATTAAGACCAACCGAGCTTCAGGAACGGCCTTCGGCCTCTTCTAAAAACACCAGCAAACGGGGATGTAATTTCATGTGATTGACGGAAACACATCTTGCATGGGTGATGAGCAACTTCTGTAAAACAAACGGGGAGTTCTGACCATCAAGAATTTGGGAGGGTATTCCAATCATAGGACCATATTCATTTTGCAGGGTCCTTGTATGACTCGACTATTCTATGCTCCCTTGGAACATGACCCTGCCGGAAAACCATCTCAGACTGGCCGATGTTCACCGACAAACCCGCTTCAAACGTCGCACCAAATGAAATGCGCTTTCCCGGCATCGTCCAAATGGGGAAGCCAACATGAGTTTTTCTCCACTGGGCTCACCTGCAAACAGCCCACCCAAGGAGGGTGGTTCTTTTTGTTTTTTAAATATCAGAGCACACGCACGCCCTTGGAACATCATTGCAAAACCACCTGTCAGAATCCAAGTTCAGGTTCAAGCGATGCGGCCTGAGAATGAAATACATGCAAGAAGAAAACTGGATGTGAGACTTTGCGTCGCTTGCTTCCTTCGGGACCCTACAGTGGCCCACGTGTTGTGCCAAATCGCCAATGAACGAAAACCCATTTCACCCTTCTGAGAAGGGTTGCGGGAATTGCCCGTCCCTCCCCCTCTCAAGAAACAAATAGTTCTTTGAAGGGCCCTCTCGCAGAAACAACACGGAAGCTCCTGATCCCCTTGGTAAATCAAGACAAGTCACCAATCCCAAAGTGCGTTCCCCACTATGCACCTTCCAACAATAGGCAGGCCTACCAAAAACTAAACATGTGGGTTTTCCTCTCCTCTTGAAAGCATGAGCCAAATGGTGAGGTTATTCAGCTGAGTGTCCTTGAAAATGCTGGATGGACCCCTCTTTGCTTTTCGGATCTGTGTCCAAAATCCCAAAAATCGTGGCTCCCCTTTGATTTTACTTTGTTTCAACCCCTCAAAGGGCACAAGAGACGGACCCATTTTGAGGGGCGCAAAAAAATTAGGCCACCAAGGAACCGCCTTTGAACCGCCCCACCTGGTGCTGTCAGGTCTCCCCGGGTTGCGGTCCTTTGCGGCCGTGCGGCGTGAGTGAGTTCTGGGGCCACACAAATGGTACTTAGATGGTCTGGGAGTTGGCGAAATGCCGAGCTTTTGCCCTGGTTGTAACCCACTTACAATGGTTGTAAGTCCCCGGAAGCCAGGGTTACTAAACATTTAGCTAAGTCCCAGACCATCTAAGTAGGGGATAGTCCCCTCACTTTCCGAGTGGATTCGCCCAGAAAAGTCACCCGATTTGTTTGCCGCCAAAATGGTCCAAACCCAGAAAGCGCTTAAAGTCCAGGAACTCAAAAAGTGAGTGTCTGGACTCAGTTGCCCCAGTCTGGACCCCAAGCTGATCACCTTTCGCGGCCACACAGAAAGGGATCCCAAAAAAGGAGGGGGAACGTTTTAATCAAGTCATTTCAAGTCGTCACCATAGGTGTCCTTTTAGGGGAAATAGATGGATTTCCCTGGTAGATGATTAAACCACCAGGTAAACCGGGAATCGCCATCTATTTTTCGACCAAAACAACCAAAAAGGACACCTATGGTCGTCACGCTACCACTCTCCCCTGTCAACGGGGAGCTGGGCGGGTTGCAAGTTGCAAACTGACTGATAACAAGACCAGTTTTGGGGGGATGGCGTTTTGCGGTTCAAAGAGAAACACCCCATTTTGAGGATTCTCATTTTTTGCCGGCAAAACCGTAGACGAAATTCTTGAACACATGAAGGTCTGCGAACTGCTGCAAAATGTTGTGACCCTTGGCGGACATGAAACATATGTGGTTTTATGATTGTCCATCATACTTGGAGTGTTCCACATTGAGAGCCATAACCGGATCCTGCGGCACATGGGAAGCCAAGTTGTCCCCGCCATTTGTCCTCCCTAATCAGTTGCTCACAGTCATCAACCTTCAAGGGGAGGGGCGTGGAGTGGGCTCCCCTACCCTCCGTCCCCCACTTCCCTTTTGAGGGGCTGGGGAGGGGATCAAAACCGATCACTCGAAATCTACGCTGAAAAAAACTTCGCATCTGCCCCTCAGGCGTTGCTTGCGGGGAGTTTGGACCAACTGAGGTGGTGGCACTTGAGCTGCAGGGGTTGTCAAGCGGGTACCACGCGTTTGGTGGGTTTACAGGAAAACCCACATGTTTCATCATTCTTCTTCGGGGGGGCCCTGAAATTTTGGCACCTGGTTGCCTTTGCCGCGCTTTGCCAAAAGCCTGGCACCCGCCTTGTTCAACTGCTTGCCCGAATAGGCCTCGAGTCGAGGCCCCGCCGGCGCCATCGCGGTGCTTGCCCAAATCAAAACCTCCCCCTTGCAAGGCGTGCCAGAATGTAAGCATGGAACAAGCATTGGCTTGACAACTTGATAACTCCCCCACTTGTTGCGCATGACCCGTCCGCAAACTTGGTGGAGTCTTCTCATCAACCCCCCAGCGACCGTCAGCGACCATCACTATGCTGACGGTGAATACTGCTACCCTTGAAGCAGTCCAAAGGGCGCCACGCGCGAGGGCACCCTCGTAAATGAGCATGCTACCGTGGATGAACGAAATCCATTTCACCACTTTGAAACCATGGGAAACCATTGTTTGTTTGGCATTTACAGGGGACTCGAATCATTCTAGGATATTCTAGGGTTTCGTGGGTGGTGCGTTGCACGGTTTTCGCGTCCATCCACAGCTTTCCAAACTTCCAGTGGCCGTCCGTCTCCCTTGGCCACGCCTGCCCGTTGACCCAGCCCTGCGGCTGCACCTCGGACGCCATCCCAAGGCTCGGGGGCCGCTCGGCCGGAAACTTATGGATGGGACGGCGTTCTTATTGGATCTATGGGACCTGTTTCCATGGAAAGAACATGGGGTAACCCTCAAACCTAGGTGGAGTCCAAAATTAACCCCCCCTTTGTTCTTGAGCCATCTTCAAAACCAATGTTAACTTTTGGAGTCCCTTTTTTCTGAGCCATCTTTCAAAGTGGAGGTCTTGCATTTTTGCAAACATCTATCGTCTTTGCAATGGCCTCACTCCGCAAATGGCAGGGGGATCGAACAACGTTCCCGACTTTGGTCAGCTTTGAAGGGGTCATAAATGATTCCAAAAGGGCACCCCTCTTGTTGAACAGCACTACCATTAATACATTGGCTCCTTAGTACCCCCCCATTGACACTGCGGATGGATGAAATCCTGCACCACCCAAGAAACCCGGGAATGATTCGATTCCCCTCCAAGAACCCACAAAAATGGCTTCCCATGGTTACAAGGTAGACGGATCTCGTCCACAGTACCATGGCATTGTTTGACATCTTCAGCACCCTCGCACGCTGGGACGCACCAGGCACCAGGCGTGCGGACAAAAGGCGTAGGGGTCATCGGCCCCGAAGTCGTGATTGCCATAGACGGCCATCCAAGGAACCTGACAACTGAGTTGCTCTTCCCCCCCCGGAATAAAGGTTGATCACCTTAGGCTAAATTGAAACACTTGGAAAACATGTGTTTCCAACAAGGTCCAAGGGATTTGGGGAAGAGATCAGGCCTGGTCAAAGTGCTTGGTGGATATCAACACGCCGTCTCCACTTCCGGACCTTTTCCAAACAGCTTTGCCACTCAGTGGATCACTCGCACAATGAATCACCGGCCTCTGTTGGGCTTCAAACACAACAGAAACAGCAACAACAAAAACACTCAACAAAAACCAACAAACACAACACGCAAATACACCAAACACACAACAAACTATCGCAAAACAACACAAAACAAAACAACAAACACAAAACACCACAAGCAACAATGAACACGAAACGATGAACACCACACCCTAGAAACACAGAAGACAGCATATGACCGAAAAAACAAGGCTGGCCTTAAATCCCCGGGCCCTCGCTGTGCTGCCGGCTGCCCGCCTGGAAGAGCGGTGACTGTGGATCCGTTGGTCCATAGGGCGCCATCCAGTCCTTGTACCAGGCCTGGCGCTTGCTTCGGCGAGCCGGTTGCGCTTCTGGCCGGGAGCTGGGAGCTGGCAGCGTCGGAGAGCGGGCTGGGAAGACTCGAACACCCCAAAAGAGCCGTCTCTTCCTTTACAACCCTTCGTATGGTAGCAACAAGCTCCACACCCACCCCACTAAAAATGAACAGAGGCGAAAAAACATGAACACATGCCAACAACAGTGAAGCTTGATCCAACGCTTTGTGGTTTAGGCTTCTTTCCCATCCCAGACAAAAAGCGTCCACCCGTCTATTATAGGAGACTCAAGGAGAAATATCGCTGTCACATGGGGGAGTCTTCGCTTGGACATGGGCCATTCGGCGACGCGATGCGGTGGGATGCCCATCCAACTTTGTCACTTGATCCAGAGGGATTCCCTCGACATCACCGACCAAACCTGTTTTGCTCTTTGGCACCTTTGGAAACAACCAAAATGGCATCCTCAACAAAAAAACACACAAATGGCAGTTGGCTTCACATGGATTCCCCGGTCAAAGGGACGCCCAAAAGAAACCGTTGCCGTTTCCACGGGGCTTTGCTCGAAAGACCCATCCGCGGCTTCAGAAAATCCGGCTTCGGAACACCGGCTCGCGCCCGGCTCTGCGGTCCTCCGGCGTCACGCCGGCCCAGTAGAAGTTATCCCCGACCTGAGCCGAAGTCCGTTTTGGGCGAGGGTCGCGTTAACAGGGCACGGTAGGTAAGTGGTTCGTAAGCCTGGTTGTCATCCAGAAAACAGATGGTTCCAAGTCTCCGTTCAGTGGGTTCTAACCAGGCTTACTATGCACTTACTCAGTACCTTGCCCGTGTAAGTAATGGGTGTCAAAGGCTTTATCCCCACCCCTGGCGAATTGCGGCAGAACTTGAGTTTCCATGGGTGTGTCCTTTTCAGAAACCCCAGACAAATTGTGGTTCTCCTCCTGGGTTCCCTATACAACCACAAAAACAGGGGACCCCTCAAAACAAAGCAGACCCGCATGGTCCTGTGTACGTGCCCGGAAGCCTTTGAGCAACTCCAACTGAGTGCCTGACCGAGGCTATGAACTGCAAGTTCTTCCCAGCCTGCCAGAAAACGCTCGGAGAAATATCTATGCAGCTTACTCACACACGGCTGATGCTGATGGCGAACTCTTTTTCGAGCCAGTTGATAGGTGACTGCTAGCCTTGTGGAAAACATGGCATCCACTCGATCTGATTTTTGCCAGTTCGTCAGAATCCCAGGCCGCTTGTGTGCAACCTTGCCTGCTTCTGCGCAGCCACGAAGCCTCAACATGCACTTCGGCATCCGAGGATTCCCATCTCCAAGAACCATTGCCATCTCACCGTGCAGTCCTCAAGACCTTCCCATGAACCTCAGATTCGGAGGAGTTCGCCCGGTGCGAGAAACCCCAAGCTTTCCCATTTCGCCCCTTTGACACAGACCAGGTCCCGGGCTCTTCAGCTTGCCGGCCACTTCGTTCTGACAGGTCCCCGGCCTGCAGTTTGGGCCGACACCTCCAGCTTGGGTAACCCAAGAAACGCAGCTTTTTGGAAAATACAAATGTTTGATGTTGCTCAATGCCCACATCTCAAAGGAGCCCTCCACTGTATTTTCCCCTGGCCAGAAATTCCTTGGGCTAAAGCCAACCAGGAGGGAAAGACAGCAGTGTGGATGCCCTAAATATAACTCAAACATTTAGGTGTCCTGTTTCACACCCTGTTTGGGGTCGTTTGAACTAGGAACCTATAGAGAAGCACCGGCTCCGGGCGAACCAATTCTGGGCCCAGCCGCGGCTTGGGTCGACCCCGAGCAGCGGACCCGCCAGCTTTGCCCCAGTCCCCGATGATGATGAAGTAGTTCTTGCTCCGGGGCTGCCAGGTGACGATCCTGTGACCGGAGGAAGGAGGGGAGAGGAGGGAAGCAGGACGAAAGAAGAAGGGAAAGAAGGGAAGGGAAGCGAAGGAAAGGAAAAGAAGGGAAAGGAAGGGAAAGGAAGGGAAAGGAAGGGAACAGAAGGGAACAGAAGGGAAAGGAACAGAAGGGAAAGGAAGGGAAGGAAGGGAAGGCAAGAAGGCAGAGCGAGACAAGGCAAAACACATTTGGCACTGACGGCTTCTCTAAAAGGCAAAGTCACACTTCTCGGGACGACTATGCCCAAGTCTCTTCTTGTAGCAAGCTGCAATGCAAAGGAGCAGCTTGGTAACCACAATGCTCCGAATGCTGCGACATTGGACATTGCCTAATCATGCCTGACATTTACAAGTGCAACCCAACCAACGCACATGAACAACGCCACTGTGGAGGAACGCAATCCATTTCGCACCACCTAAGAAACCCTGGAATGATTCGATTCGCCTGTAAATGCCAACAAACCTTATGATTCGCTTCCCATGGTTTCAAAGTAGCGCGAACGGATTTCGTCCATCCACAGTATGACGCTACTGCCCCACGTATGAGACACGTATGACGCTACCGCGCCTCAACGGGTTGAATGCATCGTAGTTGTTGGCCTAAGCACACCAGCACCAAGCACCACGCACCAGGCAGCTTCATGTGTACGATGCCGGAAGGCTGAATGAAAGTCGAGTCAGCCAGTCAGGTCAGTCACTCCAGCCTGTCAGGTTGTCCATTGATGTCCATGCTCTGAGTGGTAAGCAGGTTGATGCCATAGCAGAACTGAACAGTGAAAAAACATGGAAAACACGCATACGACGCTGCAATACCGGGAGCAGGCAAGGTCGGGAGCTCAACCACTCCCCCCAGACCTGTGGGCTGAACATTTGGCATCCACTTCTCAGGAACAGATTTGGGCTTCATGTTCGGCTACCTCGGATCCCAAAAGGGAAAGCTTGCAGAATCATAAGCCCACCCCGCCCCCTGAAGGCCAATGGACAAAACAACTCCGAGCATCGCGCGTAAGTGGGTGGTGGCGGTCCTGCGCTCACTCGTTTAGACTTGCGAGATGGTGACTCAATACCAAAACACATTCAAACAAACCCTTGGTTGCTGTTGACCCCCGTGCAAAAAGTTTAACTTTTTGGAAGTTTAGTGGAAAACCCCTTGATTTCCCAACAAGTTAACGAAAGTTAAAGTCTAAAGATCCAACCCAATTGCAGTCAAGCACCTTGCTTCCCCAGCTTGGCATGTCAAGGGGTCCCATTGCTACTTTCATCCCAGGGAGATTAATAGAAAACACAGCAGGAAAACCAATCCCCTTGGGGGTCTCTGGATTCCCCCCTCCAAACTTTGCCACTTTTGGAGGCCCCAACCAGATGGAGGAACCCCTGATCGTTGCTTTTGGCTGATCGGGTGGGGAACCAAGCCGAGCTGTTTCTCAGACCGGTCGGTTTGCACTGGCTACTCAGTCAAGCATATTTGCGGTCCATACGGTCCGTACCGTGGTGGGCCCAAGGACCCTTGGCAACACTTGCAAGACATGTTACACACCCTGTTGCATGTCTGCCCAAATCGATAACATGAGTTTCAGCTGCAAATCACGGGAAATTCGTGTGATCGGAAAACGGCACAGGCCTGCTTGGTACAGGCTTTGCAGGGTCTCCCCAGTCTTGCCGACTTGGTCCTGATGGGAGACGGTGCTTCTTCACTTTGCGCGACTTGCAATCGAAGCTTGCTGACAGTGACGCATGAAAACAACGTGTTCAATAGTGATGGCAGTTCGTTTCCCTGCAAATCCACAAAAAAAGATAGCTCTAAAAAAGGCACGCCCAGTTGGCCTTTGTCTCGTGCATCTGTCTTTGGCTCACGAACAATGCTGATGCCCTCTTTGAGGGCAATCAATTCCTCTGCGATCATTCTATGTGAAACCCTGGGCTGCCCTCAGATCCCCCGCTAAAAGTTTAACCTTTAGTGGGGTAAATGGAAACTCCACTAAACGCAAAAAGGCGAAGCTAAGGGGATGGCTGGAAGCCACCAAGAAACCACAGGCTTTCCAAAGGCTGATCTCGGCAGCGCCCGCATTGGCAAACCCCATGATCCGAATGATGTCACCCAGGTCCTCCAGTAGAGAGGTTAGAATAAGGGTACCGTTTCTTTTTTCGGTACTTTATTTTAGTAGGGAACCCTCCCCCAAAAAAGGGTAAACGGGCACTACTGGCGGACCTAGTCACACAAAACAACCCGCCTGGCTGAGCGTGCTACCTGCGGACAACCCGGCTGCAGCAGTGAGGAATGTCGAGTGTTTTTTGCGCACAGGGAGGCTGTGAACGTTATCACACTTGCCAAGATATATGTGGAAGGCGTGTGGATTGCATGTGGAAGGTTGTGGAAAACGATGCGGGTTGGGGCTCACTCTGCTAAAGCGCGTCCTTTGATGAAAGCTGCAAGGACTCTCCAAACTTTCTCATGCTATAGCACTGCTTAGTTGAGAGTGCTCGTTCGTATGCTCGTGATTGACAGTGGTGAAACACGGAGTGCATTTCCAGAGCGGAGCGGCTTAGGGTCAACGCCGAGCAGCTTGGATCAAAGAGGTGGAAATCCCTTTTCAACTCACGCGGTGCCACAAAATATGGCGCCCTTCAGGTATTGATTCCCCATCGGAGAATCAACGGGATATAACGGGATCATGCGCCCTTGATAGACCCTACATGGGTATGTATGTGTCAATACTTATCAGGGGAACCCAACATGATGAGTTTGCTTTCCTTTTCCCTTTTCACTCAACACCCTCAAAAAACACTCCCACATTCACCCATCGATGTTGTTGGCGTTGCCGGCCCTGGCCCCACACGGACACCGAAACCAATCCGAAACCACTCCGCCTCGCCAAACGATCCACATGGCCAGAAGCACCACCTGATCACGTGAGGCGTGCAAGCTGTCACTTCGTTGTGATCTCCTTTTGGGAGCTTCTCAAAGTGGGATATCCCAACCAGGGAAAGCCACAAGGTGAGCAAACGCTCGTCATTCTTAGTTGTCCAGAGGAGCTAGAAATAGAAGGTGATCATCTTGTCTTGCTGCGGTAGGTCTTGAATCACCGAGTCCGATTCCCTGAAAGGAAGCCATGGGATGGATGGTTTATAGGGGTCATTCCTGTTGAGAAACTGTGAACCAGCAAGTGATCCCAACAAGGGAAAGGAAAAAAGGTCGCGTTGAACAACTATCATGTCCTTTGGTAGTGTAAGATTCGTAGTGTAAGATTCGAGTTACACAAATAAGGACGCTTCTTGGGGCCAATCTTGTGGCAAGCACCTGAGACCACCATCATGCCTGAAGGCATGGCGCTCGCAAACAAAAAACAAAATAAAGCAAAGGGACTCCAGAAAGCTTCTTTGCCGGTTTTTCCAGTTTTCGCGCCTTGTGCTTCAGTTGTGCCTATGTTTTGCGTACGAGCCACCCAACGAAAAGGAAAACATCGGGCCACCGAACTCAAATCACTCAGCAAGCTGCCTGCCAGCTCCCCAACTTCCCCGCCAGCTCTGTGGCCCGGGCGGTGACCAATCCAGCGCCAACAACTCGTAGCTGCCAGCGCCTCCAGCCTGCACCGCCAGCTCGCACGGAGGGAAACCGATGTGGGGAATCGGGGTGTTGGGAATGAACCGTTTGGGGATTCCCTGAAAGGAAATCATACAACAATGCATGGTTTCTCATGGTTTCAATCTGGTGCAGGATTTCGTCCATCCACAGTAGGTGATGGTTTGTCGGGGTCATTCCCTCATTCCCTGCTGAGAACTAGGAAGGAAAGGGTTCCCTTCATCGTCTCAACTTCAAAGCTTCACTCAGTGCCTCGTTGTTGTTCTAGCGTCCCGCCATGTCGAATGGTTCTGGGCGTCCTCAACAGAATTCATGCGATGCACTCGCTGCAGGAGCCGGTGGCTTGGCGCCGGACGTCGACATGAGAGACTCGGCATCTGACCTCGAATCAGATGAACTCATCACACATTCCAATCTCAGCGTTGGTAAACATCAGAGGGTCTTGTGTTGCACTCCTTACTGTGGGCCCGTATAGGTTCTCAAGGGGTGGAAGATAGTGGAACGCACAATGGATTGCTTGACGAGTAAGAGGCTGCATGTTTAACCTTTGCCAAAGCAACAGCAACAACTACTTGTAAAAAAAAAATGCTTCGAGGCAACATAATTTGCCGTCATAGCGCTGCCAATGAAACACACATTTGCTATCGTCTTCTCACAACTCAGGTGTGATTTGCTGATAGCCTAATAGCTACAAGGCTGCTGCAACCGCTCTCTTGACTCTCGCAATGGATATCCTGGTTGTTGAAAACATTTAAAACAATGTAACAATCACACAACTGATCAACATCTTTGATGTTTAAATCTGCTTAACAACTTTCAACCACAGCTATACCAATCATCTATATATATAGTATCTACGTGTGGTCTAGTCTTTCAACATGTGCACACACACATATTATATATATATATGTATATATATATATAAGCAGTCAAACCGACTTTCTAGCACTAACTTTCATTCATATGGTAAACCATCAACACAGGCTGAGTGCCCCCGTTTGCCACGGTGATCTTGCTATGGCCCCAGGCTCGCCGATTTCGGAGCCCGCAGCGCTGGCCTCGCACCTGGGAGTCCAACCGCAGACAAGTTAGCGCCACACCGATGAATACCGTGGATTGCGGAATCCATGCCACGCACGTTGAAATCATAGGAAACCAGAACCTTTGCTGGTATTTGCGTTGGGGAATCGAATCATCTTAGGGTTTCTTGGGTGGTGCGAAATGGATTTCGTCCATCCACAGTATCACCTGTGAAAGGCAATCTGATATACATGATTGGGTTGGTCCCCCTATCATGGCTATAGCCATGGAAACTTGGGTGCACAACTGGGCTTGGTCACTTGTGGCTATAACCTGCTGCTGGTTGAACACCCCCCCGCGCCCCGACACAAATTAGTTTTTGATCAGCCAATCGGCTATTCTGGAACCTCCTTTGTTGCCAATGCATCAACTGAGTGTTTGGAAGGCAATCTGAACAATAAGAACCCATCACCGGTCGATCAGAGGTGTCGGCTCTTCCGCGAATCTGCGGCACCATGCCTGAGCACGAGGCACGCATGTTGACTTACACTCAGCTTGACATGTGCCTGGCATCTTGTGAATTTGACGCTTGACAAATTCAAGGTTGCTGGGCTGCCCTCAGATCCCCTGCTAAAAGCTTAACCTTTAGTGGGTGAAATGGAAATCCCCCCTAAACCTGAAAAACCCAAAAAAGCAAAGGGGATGGCTGGGAGCCACCAAGGTTGATGATGCCCACACAAATCCCAGTCCAACCACATGCCTCCAGCTGCTCGCGGTCCTCTTCCGCATCAGCCTGGATTGAGATTTGCGCGCAGCCCTGCCCCCGCATCGTTCCTCAATTATTGATCCGTTTGGTCCTCAGCCGGTGATGCCATGCATGCATACAAGAGAGTTGTTTTCCTTTTCATGTGTCGCATCACCATAGGTATCCCTTTGGTCAAATTAGACGGCCTTGGTAAATGGTATGAAACCATGTTTTAACAAACTAACCCAAATACTAAAACAAACACCTATGGTCCCATCGCGCATGTCCCAGAACCAGCACAAAAATCGGTCTAGTCGCATACCCGATGTCACGGCGCCAAAGCGCGTCAATTTTCCTTCCCCAGACATTCGCTCGCGCTGAGCTGACTGCTCCGACGAGCGGCACCACCTTAGATGACAGCTTCTGACCCTTCGTCTTTTCAATGGGTCTGGACATTAAAGGTGACAAATGACATCAATGACCCATCCCCTTTTGGCTTGGAATACTCGATAACTATGGGCGACACCCAAACTTAAACCAAATGAGTTGGCGAACGGCGCCTGTGAGGCCTTTGAGTGCCATGAGGTGCCCAACGCATTCGCATCTCCCTTCAACACTTGCATACTATGGATGTGGGTCCTCTTCCAACATGTTCAGTGCAATTCATGCTTGACTGCAGTTCTTTCGCGAAAATCACGAGACAAATGATTTTGGGTCTTCTTCTTCTGCTTTTTTTTGAGGGGGGGGGGGCAAGCGCCTTTTTTCACGTTCTGAGGGAGCTGCGCCGGCCGGCCACAGTGGTTGAGATTCGTTGAGCACGGGCATTGCCCGTGGTGAGACGCCTGCAGTAAAGGACCGGCTTGCCGTCACGCTGGTTGGACTTGGGTGGCTAGATCGTGCGAAAAACTGCAGGCTTACCAGCTGCGGCTGTGGTCTTTGCACACGCCTTGAGCCAAGAAAAACGGGACCGAGAATGCGGTTCATGCACATGTGTATGCAGCAGAATGCAGGATGCACTTCACACAAACCAGCTGGAAGGAATTCCGCAGGAAAACAGCCACACACCAGCCCAAACACAATTGTAAGATATTTCCTGCAGAATTCGCAGCTGGCTTCTTAGAGCAGTCAGTTGTCAACACCGACGGACCACGCCCCGTTTTCCCGCGAAGGGCATGCATGCGGTGCTGGCATTGTCCGTGGGCTAACATGCCCTGTGGGAAAAGACCATCCATGCAGGCGCATGCTGCAAAACAGTCAGGTACTGCCCCAAGGTTCCTCTGCTTCAAACATTCTTCCTTGCCCCAAAATGGCTAGCCTCCCTGCAACAATCATAGTAGCTGACGCATGGGTTTTGGAAGACCACCATCCCTTGGGGCGCGCGCTCCGCTTCCGGGTTATGTACGGGTGATCCAAACATCTCGGACGTCTTTTCCCGCATGCGAAACTGAGGCGCGAGACGGGTCGCGTTCAAAGCTCAGCACCCAGCCTCGCATGGCCCGAATAAGGCAAAACTTCGCCCATCAATGGAGGGTCCAACATGGGCGGCTTGCCTATGGCCCAAGCCTCAACAAGGGCACCAATCAGAGACACGCCTTCGGGCTTTTGCAGGTTCCTGCCGACTGCATTTTTTGGGCTGCAAGTGAACACAACAACAAAGAGTAGCAGGTTCTTCTGCTAAAGACACCAACTTCAGCATGCGATCCCCACGCTGCCTTTTTGGGATCCCTGTAAAAAGATCTCCCCAACTAAAACATAGTAGAAAAACAAAGCATCAACGCGTAAGAGTGAATGGTCGCCATTGCATTCCTTCGCTGCCTGCCTTGGGTCTGGGGATCTCAAAAGGAAGGTTGAGCCTTTGGAGCTGGCGGTCGCAACTGAAATCGACGAAACCGGCTGCGAAGGTCCACCCAGAAATCTCACCAACCAGAAAAGTGAATCGACTCCCCTCGCAACGAGGCCCCGGCTCGAAGGGCTCGATGAGACGCTCCAGGGCCAGCAGCTCCGACTTGGCGCCTCGTGTGCGGGTTTCGACGCTCCTCAGCCCGAAGAGGAAGACGCTCCCGGGCGTATGTCAATAACAAGGAACCAGGGCAGAAACAAGGTCTGAACAAAAAAAACAAAACAAACAACTAGCAACACATGGTTCAACCTGGCGAACCAAAAGTACAATCCAAAGGTACCCTTGGATTTAGCCTGAAATATGCTCAAAGAAAAGCAACAACGTCTATGAGTCTGTGTCCCTTTGAGGCCACCTATCCGAGTTTCTCTTTACAGGTGCGGGGATCCGTGATCTAATGGCGTGGGTTTCAGAGCCGATCATCTGCCTTTCCAAAATCAAGGCGCAGGCGACTGTGGATGCACGAAATCCGCTTCTCGCACCACGAAATAAAACCATGGGAATGGAACCATGGGAATGAAGCCATAACGTTTGGAGGTATTTGGAAATCGAATCAAACACCGTTGGTTTCTGAACGGTGGTGCGTTGGATGGATTTCGCAACCACGGTATCTCCAAGGTCCAACCGGGGGCATGGTGCAGTTGAAAAACGCTCTCCACCAGGAGTTGCGAGATTTGCTGCGCGTCAGATGCGGTGACACGGGCTCGCAGAGTCGCGGAACTATGGTCAGCAAGAGGCAATGATGTCGGCCATGCCCTGAAACTGATAAATTGTCGTATAGACCGAGGGCTGTTAACAAAACAACAAGCAGGGCGCTCAACTACGTGGATGGTTCTTTGGGGCTTTAGCTGCCTGGGGATCCCGACTGATGCCCTCCCGCCGCCATCGCTCACATGCCTGCGCTTTTTGCCGCAAGTTGAAGCGCACTTTCAGCTAGGTACTTAGGGGTCCCCCCAAAAGCAATCCTCATGAGGTACTTGGACCCTCTGGGCTACTGTGGATGGTTGCGAAGTCCACTTCGCACCAACAGAATGATTCGATTCCCCTGGAGCCAATGCCAACAGACATCTTACCATTTCATCCATCCACAGTACGACTTGCAATTCAGATGGAAAATTGTAAACGGCCAATCTTAACTCAAGTTGTCCACTTTCCACGGCCGCTCTGGCAATCTGTCGCGAGCACAAAACCATGAGTTCGAGGGTACGCTGAACTAAGCCAGCCTGTCTGGGTTTGTTTTGACGAGGGGGCCAAGAGGAAATTCTGGGAAACTCAGGAGACTAGGTCTTCCTCTGGAGGTTAGAATAAGGGTATCCTTTTTTGGTAGGGGAACCCTCCCCCAAAAACGGGTAGAAGGGCGCTACTGGGGGACCTAGGAAACCACGAGCAAATGCGGAAACCCACTGCGCAACCAGGGGGCAACCAGTGGTTGCTACGTCTAACCTGGCAGCTGTGCCTCCTGGCCACGCTCCAGCAGGCCGTGCATCCTGGGGCTTCCACAAATGGGCGGGTTCCGACGGGCAGGAAACCCTCGGTTCCCGGCTGTCCCTTTGCCACCTTTGTCCCTTTGGACCTTGGAAATAAAAGGTTGGCCTGTTGGAAACTTTACTAAAAGCGGACCAAGCATGGAAAAGCGAACAACTGAGGCTCTCTCAAGGCAAGTTTGGCATGCCTACACTTGTCGAGCATCTTGTGCTTTGTGGGGGTGGGCGGGTTTGAATGAACAAAACAACTGGCAGAATCAGCGGCCAAGCGCAGAAACCGGAGGGGGTTGCCCCTTCTATTGCTGCCCTTCCGCTGCCGTCCGAGTGCAACAATTTCATGCCAAGACGTCATGTGATACATGCAATTTCCACATATTCAACTTCCAGAGAAAGAAGATATGTCGGCATCTTAGCACACATGTACTGCAATATATAGTCCCACTGGGCTGGCAAGGCTTCCAACTCAACTGGGGGAAACCTAAACTCAGTTGCCCAAAGGACCCAGAAAAACACGGCTAACCTTTTGAGTCCGTGACAAAACATGGTCCAAATCAGGGAAACCAAAAGGTCGATTCGCTTTGGTTAGCCAGCCATCTGCAAATTTCACAAAGTAAGGGATCTGCAAGAAAAATACCTTTATCATGGTGAGCTCGTGATGAATCCCGCAGATCGGTGAGCTCGCTGAAAAATAGGCAGAGCCATCTCCCACACCTTGAGGTGCACCCACTTGGAACGAGTAATGTTAACCCCGGATTAGTAAACCCCTGGTTGATGAATAGGGGGTGTCCCCTTTTAGTGGGGATTCATCACTTTTGGAGGGAACACCCCCCTAATCATGGGACGGGTTTATTAATCCTGGGTCAACATTATGCAAAACCTTGTGATCCCTTTCCCCTCCTGCTGCATAGCCTCTCCAGATCCTGGCAGCGACGCCTGCGACGGGGCTGACAAACAGTCAAGCAGCCTCCTACCACAAGTTGCTGGCACTCGGGTGTGGTTTTGGACTTTTTTCGGACGTTTCGTGGATGTTTCGTGGATGTGTTCGGCTTGCTTCAAGTCAATCTTGAAGCGACCTAAACCTCCACTGGCTTAAGTTCCCTAAAAAACATATTTCCAGCAGTGATAGGCTCCCTTCTGCACCAACCGGGGAAGATCACACGTCTTCATCTCAGCCAACGGGCCTCAAGTCCAGCATCTCGGCATCTACCTGCCGAGCATCCTGCGCGGGGTGCAGGAGGCTTTGTCCTTTCGACTTCACATTTGGGTTGAAACTATAGCTCACTTGCCCAAAGGACCCAGAAATAAAAGGTTAACCTTTTGGGGCCATGACTAAAAATGGACCAAAACTGGAAAACCAAAAGGTCAAAAGGTCGGCTTTGGGCAACTGAGTATAGGGATGCCCAGGGTGACCCTGCACTTCTAGGTTCCTCGAGTTTCAACCGAAAAGGGGGCAAACAGGTGAGGTTGGAGGATTTGGGCCCTCTTCTGCGTATCCAAGGATCCTCCCCAATTCAAGGGGAAAATCGTGGACCGCCTCCATCCCCTCCTCCGTGCCAAAGGGCGAAGGGGAAGTGAATAAGGCTCGTAAGGCTGCGAGTCAATTCTACCATAAGCCCGGCAAATGTGAAGCCGCGTCCTGGAGGGACATGCTGTGAACGGGCGAGTCAAGAAACGACGCCTCGGCCCGCAAAACAAGATGCACACTTAAAGGGGAAGCGTACTTAGTAAGTGGATTATAACCACGGTTTATCCCACTTTCCATGGTTAACCAGGCATACTAACCCCTTACTAGGAACCCTGCCCCTTCAAGCAGGGTGGCAGCAAACTGCAATCATATCTATGCTCCGGGCTGAGAGCGAGCGATTCAGGCCACGAGCGCCCTTGGCACTGCGGTTGCCAAGTGATGTTGCTCACGCCACCAACACATAATGAGAAGAATCATCGGTGTCCTGTTGGTAGGTAAACGGAATAAAATCAACCCGAACCAGTGGAACGCATCTATTCTTAACCACTCAACAAGGACCACAAAAAGCACCATCTGAAAGCAGCACTCACAGGAACAACCCGGCAGTTTGGCTGGCGTTCTCATCTTTCACACTCAGGTGCTGCTCCCCGGGTCTATCCCTTCAACCCTCTTTGATCAAGATTCCCGGACCTTGATCTTCCAGAAGCCCTTCACTCTGCACAAAAATTGACGCTCAACCCATCTAAGGTTTGCACCTCCAGAGCCACGAAACACGCAAGCACACAAGGAGACACTGCGCATTCTCTGAAATGAAGCCATCTCGGGGCTGGTTTTTCCACGCTTATCGCGCCAGCAAGTTTTGAGACCTTTACTCAAAGTGGGATCCTTTTTGGCAGCCCGGGAAGCAATCCACGGATCCAAGCCACCAATCATAGCTCGCTGCCGGTTTTGCTTGGGATGCCGCGTTGCCTGTGCAAAGGTACAGCCGACGGTGCCCGACTGGGGCCCGACGGTGCAAGCGGTGCCCGACTGGGACCCGAAATGCAGACCACGAATCCAAGCCACCAATCGTAGCGCACCGCCGGTTTGCTTAGGATGTCGCTTTGGCTGTTTACCCTTCCTTGCCACGCCGGACCACCCTATGGCCCTCGCAGAACCTCGTGATGCGTGGTGGAAATTTGTGGAACCCTTTCACCCTTGCACAACCTCGTGGAACCCTCGTGGGCTTGTGGAACCCTTGCAGAACCCTTGCAGAACCCTTGTGCAACCCTGCGAAACCTTACCTCAGGGAAGCCCGGACCACCCCGCAGCCCTCGCAGAACCTTGTGGAACGGTCGTGGAACCGAACCCTCGTGGAACCTTCCTTACCCAGGGCCGCCCTGGAGCCTATCTGGGCAGAGACCCCAAAGTTTTCTGCTGTTGGGGAAGAACCCTAAGTTTAAGCCACCTTGGCGTCAAACGGAACCCTGCCCAGGATGTCCAACGAGAACCGGGAGCGCCTTTTGCACTTGGCACTGAGGCGCCTGCAAAGGACTGAGACCTCACCTGCGCCGACAGCTCTAGGACCTGGCGGGGCGTGTGGGTGTTGATTTCTGCAATTTATGTGTCTTCTTGATGTGTTTAAGATGTATATGTTTATTAAATAAACTAGACATAGCCATAATGGCCATAATAACAAAAGCCATAATAACCGTTTGTTAACCGAACATTTAGTATCAAAATAGCCATAACCGTTGTTGCTTTGACAAAGCATAGCATAATGAATGCTAAGAATATTGATGGTGAGAATGGAAAGGAGGCCTCAAGGATCACGAGGACGCAAGTGGGTAGTGAGTTGGGTCCTTACTAAGTTAGTTCCTAGGTTCATCTGCTTCTAGCAACAAAAGGCCTGGGCTTTTTACAACAAACGCAAGAGTTTGGCGTATAAACCCAGGCGGCGTGGGTTTACAATCTTTCGTGTGCATGGCTGACTTCCAAGAGATCTACCCGGGGGGAGGTGAACCCGCTCACAAATTCGAAAAGGGGTCAAATGTGAATTAGCAACGTCAGAACCAAAGGTTGTGTAGGACGACTACCTATCTTGTGCACCCTAAGCATGATACTTTTGCATTCTGGTTCAAAACGCAAACCTTGAGGCGAAATGATGTCAAGACAGAAAACGAGCCTCTCTTGGATTGAGCCATTCAGGAAGTCCAAAACCCCGATCACACAAAATCCCATCGGAGCTGCTGCCTCGAAAAAAAAAAAAAAAAAAAAAAAAGAAGCCGCGCGAGCGCTTTTTTATTTCTGACCCGTCGGGAAGAAACCAAGGCAAGGAGTAAGCAGGCAACCCGCAACTGCCGGTTTGGATTGGTGGGATTTGAACCGTAGAGTAAATGGGAAGCCCCTCAACCACCCAATCCACATCACCAATTAGAGGGAAGCCAGCCCGGCAGAAAGCCACACCATCTGCAATGGGAGATACACACAGGCAAGCCGGGTATCTAATAGCCCGACACCTTTGTGGGAGGAGTGATTTCTACAAAATGTGGGTAGGCTTCTGCGACTCGTGGAACCTAGAAGCATAGTCCTTACAAATGTGCTCTACAGGGTGCGTGCCTGCAGAAAGGAGCAAAGCAGCATCCGAAAGTAGAAGTGCCTGATGATTCCTGATGCCGCTAGAGTTGCCAACCTGGGGTAGCAACAAATCAGACATAACACAAGTAAAAGTTATCTTGCTGGTGCTCAGTAGGGAATGACCATTCCGGGATATTGAAATTAACCTAGGGATTGCTGTAAGGAAACCAAATCGGGGATGGTCCATGGGAGTCATTCCATGTCCATTTCTCATTCCCTGCCTATCGAACCAGAAAGTTGTGCTCGGCTTGTCAACCTTCCATTTGCGGGACAATATATGTATTTTTAGTAGTGATCGATTCCCTTTACAACCAAGAAAAACTAACAAATTTTCATTTCAGACATTTAGAAACCCAAATCACAACACCAGCTGCGGCCTGCCTCGTGCCGGGCATCAGCGCCTGGGGTTCAGCTGCAAAGCCGTGCATTGTTCAGCGGCTTTGCCCAGGAAAAGGGGAATCCTTGAAGGAACCCCGGGCAAAAATAGCAGGGAGAATAGAATCACTGTTGACAGTACCTCATCCCTATCCATTCACCCAAGTAGCAGACCCTCTGAAGTCCAACTCAATGCAACTTGAAGTACCGCTGGATTTGCCTCGATCTTGCCAGTCATTCAAAGATACCCGCATAGCTACTCACATCTTCGTTGGCGTTTGTGGCTATTGCCAACATACGCCAGTGTACATTATTTGTATCAACTGCCAGGCACCAGGATTTGAACCTGTGCGTTTCAACTACCGAATCCCACGCTCCTTGGATCGGCATGGTGTTGCAAAGGAGCCAATAAATGAGGAGGCAAAGTTGCCCCATTTGGGACCTGGAAATCAAAGGTGATCACCATTGGGGGGCCACTAAAAACGGGAACCAACATGGGAAACTAAAAGGTCAGATCCGTTCGATTGGTTCCAAGGTGGTTGGGCAGCTTTGGGGGAATTACAATTAATTGACACCAACTTAGGAGCCTCCAAAGAAGGAACATTCATGATTGCAAGTGCAAATCGAATCCCTTGGAGCGGTTGCCCATGTCAATGTTGATTTGCCCAATTTCACTTCTGCTGGATGCCGGTTCCCTGTGTGGAAAGTACACCAGCCACGCCGCATCCCCAAGACCCCAAGAGCATGGTAAAACACGGCAAGTGACAGGGGCTCCCCCTACCTTTGCACTAATTCCCCGTCATCCCCTGCGCTTTGGCGCGCGGTTGGGGACCTTTCGCTGGGCTGGGTGTCCGGCTTTGCTGCTGCAGGCGCGAGCCCTCGCAAACCCATGCAAGTGACGAACTCGTGCACGTCCGAAGGATAAACGAAGCAATAGTTCCGCATTTTTTGCTATGACTCCAAAAGCTGAAGTAAGGGATCCCGAGTAAAGGAGCTTTATCATGGTGATCTCGTTATAGCCCCGGATCGGTGAGCTCGCCATAAAATAGGCAGAATAGTTGGAGTGCATCCAGACTTGAAAGTCTGGCTCCATTTGGGCATGTGTTTTTTTTCAGAGAGCAGAAAATCAAGCGAACTCGCGGCCAGCTCCGAAGTGACTAGGCAGTCGACCACTAGAGAACTTCCAAAGACCCGAAGCTCCCCGCCCATTTCCGGGGCTGATGAACATTTGGCGAAAAGCTTAATTAGAAGCCGACCCCGTTGACTTGAGACCCAAAAAAGGGTCAGGATTTCCTCCATACGCTTGTGCGGACCCATTGTTCATCTGCAGGATCTCCCGGTGAATTCTGCCAAAACGTGATCCAGTCGGAAAATGCAGAGCCGACCGACAGGCGCCCAATCTCCGACGCACCCTAAGTAACACGACAGTTTGAAGGTTGTATGTAAGAGAATCCTGCGCAGACAAAGCCACATGAGATTCCTTCGGTTTTCCGCGGGGGAACCCGTTTTTTCCGCCTCCCGCTGCTTGCTCAGCAATTGCTCGCGCGCATCGTCCCGCTCCAGGAGCATCCTGCGGGGTGGGTCAAATGATTGGGTCGCTTCCCATTGCCCCTGGGCCTGTCAAGTAAGACTTTGTACCGTTTCCTAGGGCGCTGGCAATCTACGCCTGCGTGAAAGCCAAAAGCGTTTTGGCACCGAGATCAAGGCAGGTGCGGGTGTCTGACTGCGGGACAAGGACGGACACACGTGGGTGGCACGTTCTTGAAGGTTGGACCTCCAACATGGCTGGGTCCCTCTTGGTTTCCCCTTTGAGACCACCCCAAAAAAGAGAACCCAATGGTACCCGATAGATCACAGGCTGACCGGCAACTCTCAGTAACCCAAAGCATCAACATAGACACAAACCCATGGTGATCACACAAGTAACGCCTAGGCAACCAGCGACCATGGTTTCCAAACGTGTCCCACAGATTGGACACCTTTGAAAGGAAGGGGCGTGGCGGCCTCGCCTTTCCATGTACCTCGCCTGACAGGCTTCCCATAGTTTTCCCGCTGGCAGTGGAAACGTGACCAATTTCAGGTGCGATCCCATTGCGCAATTGAATTGCAAAAGAGGTGACCAGGTCGGTAAAGGGGTTGGACTTTCCCCAACCCACCGCAAAGTTCAAGATGAACGCCAGTCATTTGGCAAACCAGCGGGCCCATACTGTGGATGAAAGACATTCATTTTGCACCACCTAAGAAACCCTGGAATGGTGATTCCCCTGCAAATGCCAAAGAACAATTGGTTTCAACCATGGTTTCATTTTGTGGTGCGAAATGGATTGCAGCAGGGATTTGCCTCTAAATGGACCCCACACAAAAAGGTGCAGGGGATTTTGTCCATCCACCGTAGGTTAGAATAAGGGTACCCTTTCTTCTGTAGTTTAGTAGGGGAACTCTCCCAACCAAAACAGAAAGGGTAAAAGTTGGCACTGGCGGACCTAGTCTTTCTTCGTGTTCGGAAACCCTCCGTTCAGTTCCTCCCAAGTCGATCTTCCCTGCCCAGCTCGGAGGTTGGAAAAGGTCCTCTGACTGCGGCGGTGCGTCTCCTCCAGACTGCTCTTCAGGCCTCAAATGCAAGACGATCCCCCCTACCTTAAGGGGCAGGGGGGTGGGGGGTCCCCAATTCCACTTATCTAGTCTTCCCCACAAAAGGGAAAATGGAACCACAAATGGAATTCCAGGGGTCGCCCCCCTCCCCCAATTCCATTTTTTAGGGCGTGGGGAGGTTGCAAGACATGGAAGGGCAACATGGACTGTTCGAGGGCGGGGGATGCATGACACATGCCCATGGAGCGTTGGGTTCCTTTGAAACTGCCGCTGTTGGAGTAACAAGGGAAATTGAGGGACCTCTGCATCCGCGGTACTCTGGAAATAGCGTTGTCGCACGGGTTTCTCGTGGTCTTTCTGCCTCAAGTCGTGGGCTATTCAGCGACCTTTGGCTTAAGCCACGAGATTGTGCGGCCTCAAGTTTCTCGCGGCAAGCTGCGAATCGATCCAATAGCAACTTTCCGTTAACCCACGAAGGGGGCTGGCGAAACAGCGACTCATTGGCCATAAACCAGCCGCCGTCCTTGTCACTGGTCAGTCGCCTGCAACCTGCTTGGATGTTCTGGGAATTAGCTAAATGGCTAGCAACCCTGGTTTGCAACCCACTTAGGGATACTCGCCATTCAGCTAGGTCCCATCCTAAGTGGTCAACTCAGTCAACTTGAGCTTGCCCGGCTTTCATTCAGTATTGGTGTGTCCCATGTCAGGAGTCACTGGATTTTTTGAGAACTTGCTGGTGCTCAGCAGAATGAGGGAACGACCCCTATAAAGACCCATCCCTTCTGGTTCCTTTAAGGACCCTCAGGTTCATTCCGACCCATTCCCTACCTATCGCAGCAGGAAGGTAAAGAGCCTCTGGGCTGCTCCTAGCATGTTTCAGGCTCTCGTTGGAAGCCTGGCGGCGCTTTTCTTGCGGGTGCTTTGGACCGCACGCTCACGGCTCATGCGTTGGCTTGGCTCTGCGCATAAGCTTTCAAACAAGGGCCTCCAGATATGACTGCGACTCAATGTCATACAGTTCATGGGCTCATCCTAAATTGTGGACCCACTTTGCGGTTGGTTTTCAATGGGATGTGTCACAGGACTGAACGTGCGGTGCGGTGTTAAAGTGGGTGCCTACAACAGCAAGTGGGAGAAACAACAACATTTGCAGTGACAAATGTCCGACTTGTGCTCTAAAGAATTTCCAGCTTCCTCTTGGCTTCGTGACGCCCGCGGACCCAGGAACAACAACATTTCTTTGAGGCAACCGTCGCAGGTAAAGGCCACACTGGGTATGAAGCTGACCACAGTGGATCAATGAAGTGCAGTTCTTTCTAAGAGGAGTGCTGCATATAAAATTTGCCCCAAATCTCGACCTGCAGAGGAAAATGGTGCAAGAAACCACTATGTAACCACTACAAACTCGTTGCACCGTTCAGGGATGATGGGAAACCCTCTTGATTCTACTGCTCAGTTGCCCCTGTTTGGACCTGGAAGCAATAGGGAACTCAAAAAAAAGACGACCAACAGGTGAAATTGGCGTATTTTTGGTAAAGGAGATGGGTTTCCTTGGCAAATGGGGCATAAAACCAATCCAAACCAGAGGGTGTCTGGAAGCAACAGATAATCACTTCTTGGGGACATTGAACATGGATCCCAAATCAAGGAAAACAAAAGGTAAGATCGGGGCGATTCGCTTTGGATGATGCTTGCAGGAGCCCCGGCTGCGAATCTCCTCGCTGTGGCGGGACCGCAGGTCAGACACCTGGCGCGTTCGGTCGGTGGGATGCGAAAAGTGGCCAGGGCTCGGGGTGGAGGGGCAGCAACAGCAGTAACCAGAACAAGGAGATGACAAAAATGAAGATGGAGAAGAATGAGAGAGAGAGAGAGTGACAAAGAGAGAGAGAGAGACGGGGTCTGTGGTCTTTGACGCGAAATCGTGGGAGCTTTTGCCGAGTTGCCCCGAATGGGGCCACTAAAATGAACTAAATCTTCCAAAACCGCCTTTCCATGATGGTTGGAAAGAGGGCAACGAAACGCGAATTTGGGGTCTAGAAAAGTACAGCGCACTTAGGGGGAGTTCAGCAGTACTAGCCACCCGCCGCACAATGTCCAAAACGGGCAAGCAGGTTTGCTGGCAAAAGCATCCCTGAAAGGCTGCTAATTCCGAGAAACACCTATGTGAGCCATCATACAAACCTGTTAAAATGGTGAACCCAGAGCCATGTAAAGAATTGGAAAGGCGGCCGCACCCATTCATGGCTGGGATTCCCCCCTGCTACCCCCGTCCAATTACTGACTCATGTGGACCTCATGGTTGTCAAGCTGCTGATCAATCCAGGCGAATGGTTCAGCAAAGCATCGGGGGCTGCAGCTGCATCTGCCCTTTTCAGACTAGCGCGTCGTAGTTCGAGCCGGTGATAGGAACATGGCGGCGCAAATCTTTGGTGGACTCATCCGAGACGTGCTTCAAGAAGGCGTTCCATGTGACAGGTGACAGAGTCAAGCATCAAGCGGTGAGAAGCATGCCAGCACTGCCATTCAACCCTGCAGACGTCGGCACGTCAAGAGCCCAGAAGGCTAGAGGCCAGGACCAAACTTCCATTTGAGGCGGCATGTACCTCTGGGCCGCTGGCCGGAAGACCCGTGCGCGCTGACCAAGGCCGGCCTGGTCTCTGGAAGCACGAAGGCTGGTGCCTGACCTGCGACATCTGGAAGTCCATCTCTGATTCTTTTCGGGAAAGCGTCATGAGCGCACCACCCACCAAACCGAGTCGGAAGACAGGTGGATGACCGGCATACCGTCCACGCCTTCCAGCGGAAAGCGCAAGGAGTCGTCGCTGGCCGGGCCGCACTCCACCAAAACTGCCAAGGCCACAGCTGCGTGGAACATGGAGAAGTCGTGGCCTGCCAGAATTCCGCCCGGCCGCACTCTCCGCTTCCAAACCTGTATATCGCGTCGCACCGCCTCGAAGGTGTGATCCGCATCTATGAAGACCAGGTCGAAGTAGTCGCTTTCAACCAGACCAGCTGCTGCTTCCGAACTCTGCCGGATGATGCGCACGGCATTCTTGCCTTGTCTTTGGAAGGCTTCCTCATGGTGGGACCACTCCTTGGCCCACATCTGCAGTACACAGAAAAACTAATGTTCTCACTCTGCTTCCTTTTCCGTCTACCCTAGAATGTAAAATGGTTTAGGGGAAGACCCCAGGCTCCTGGATGTTCTCATAGTAGCCCTGCAGCACCTCGTTGCTTTCCTCGGACTTGCCCGGGATGTGCCACGGGTCAACGGCCACGTATTCCGCGATAGCCTCCTCATGCCTTCCCGGAATTGCAGCTGTCAATCTGAACTAAAACAACATGTGAGTGGCGATCATGAAGCCCAACCACAAAACTAGGCCTCTCTGGTGAGGCAGCAAACAGTGCAGTCGTTTGTGCCGAGATAGCAAAGCAATCCCAAGACTCTTTGGGGACTTTGATTGAACAAACGTTGCTAACCTGGGAAAGCATGGGTGCGTCTGTTTTTAAGGGTACCCGTTTTTGGTAGTTTCAAGACAATAAACCAAAGGACCCACCATTTTGGAGGTCCAACCTTACAAAAGACACACCCAAATGGTCTAATCCGGTCCATTCGCTTTGGGCTTTGTGCAAAAAAAACCCTTCGCGCCTCATCAGGTAGGTGATGGTCATCCCCTTCTCCACCCCCAGCTCCGCCACACGCAGGCCGCGGCTCGATGGAAGCGATCTTTTCAAGCTGGCCAGCAGATAATGCAGCACGTGCCAGCGCTGGCCAGGCACCGGCACATGCAGAAACCTTGGAATCCACCGCACGACCATAGCTCCCTTTTTTCTCTGAAAAAATGGAAACACATACGATGGCACTAGTAGATGTTAGAACCAAAGGTGAGCAACAGTGGAACACATCCATATATATATATATAATTATATATATATATACATATCCAAATGATTCCTTTTGGTGAGCACCAGCCCGAATCCATCTTCTATCAAACTCACCCAAAAGGACACCCCATCAAAAGGACACCTCATATGCACTCTGAGGCCATTTTGGGGTCAGGGTGGACTGAACCGCCTTTCGCCTTTGCACGCGCGTTTCGCCAGCCAGGGGGCCGCGGCGGGTAGCTGGACATGAGCTCCGCGATGGGTGGCCAGGCCAGCAGCCCCGAAGGCGACAAGGAGACGCTCTGGAAGGCGTGGTCCAAGAAGTTCCGCACCTCCCCCGCGGCCTCGGGGCTCGAGGATGTGCTTTTTGGAGGAAACAGGCTGGTAAAAACCTGGTACTTTTGGTGCTTTTCTTGCTGTGTGCTGTTTTAGGGCTATGATATGTCGAGTTGCAGATGTGAGCGGGGGAGGGGGGCTGGGTGGGGGAGGGGGTGGGGGGGGAGGATGTTACCGTCGTTACGAAAGGCTTGCGCACACACAAGAACACACATGCCAGTGGTTGCAAATGCTGGCCAAAGGCGTCTGGGCTCAATGTATGGATAGAGGGTGGCAATCATTGCAAGTCTATACAACCCAGCTTCACTCTAATGTGTTTCGCTACACGCGCAGCTTGTTTGGAGGCATCGGCTGCCGATTGAGAAGGATTTCAGCCGTGATCGTTGGCTGCAGCTTTGTCGGTTTAGATGTTCGAGCAATTGAACTGCAACTGTGCAAAAAACATTGGGTTTTTTGACCAGTTATGCATGAAAACAATGCTGTCCTAATTCTCCCGTTCACTGCCAAGCATGTGCCAGAGATGACAAATTGCAGAAGAGCCAGGACGCAGCCTTTGCCTTAGCAGCCTGTTACCTTTTGGGAGGGTCCCAAGAATCTTACGAGAGGCAAAAGAGAGAAGAGTCACCAACACTTTCGCACTTTCTAAAGAGACACCCAAAAAGGGACCGGCCCCTGGATTTCCAACCAAATCTAACGTTGATCCATTGCCTGGTAGTTTCCATTGAAACGATCGCCACTTTTGGGAGGTCCCCAAAATTTTGGAAGTGGCTCGGAAACCCTGACAGTGCGAAGACCTTCATCTTGTAAACAACTCAGTACCACCCACTTTCCGCAAAGCATCCTTCTTTCACCCCGGCCTCTTCCAGCACTTGGTGCCACCCCTCTTCCTCGCAGAACCGCCTCATCACCCGCTCCATGCGCCTCTCCGCGCGCTGCCGTGCCGGCGCCGCGCCCAGCTCCGCCGCCCCGAGGGGCCCTCCGCCGCCGGCGATGAATCCGCCGGCGCCGCAGGCGGGGGGCGGCTGCGCGGCCAGCGGCTGCGCGGCCAGCTGCGCGTAGAGCGACGCCAGGCGGCGGCAGGCCGCCAGCAGCTCCGCGCCGTCCTGGCCGGATGGGACCCAGAAACTTCCAGTTGCAGAAGGGCCTGGACAAAAATTAGACATATGTCCAGTAGTGATGGGTTCCCTTTGAAATCAACAGGGGAAAAGAATCTTGAGCCAATGGAAGGAAAGCAAAGGTGATGCGGTCGATTCGCATTGGGCAAGTGAGACGAACAAACACAGGGAACTTGAGAAACTGAAAGTGTGCAATGCTGGAAGATCATGCTCACAAAGAAACATAAGGCCTGATATTGCAGAAGTCATCATGTTCGTGGAAGGAGGCGCTGCATGCGAGGTTTCATGTTGGTTCGTCGGACCCAGAAGGCCTGCAAAATGTTCCCTTCCAGCCTCATGCTGCCTCACCCAAAGGACCCAGAAATAAAACGCACCAACAAGGGGAAACCAAAAGGTCAAAAGGTCGGCTTTCGGCAAGTGAGGATATACACAAAAAAACATTTAATCAAGACGCGGGTCTTTCAGCTTCATGTCTTCTTCTGCGAGGAAAACCCACTGAACCGTTCCGAGCTGTCCGCCTCGAAGCCAGGCAGGGAGAGGTCGTAAGAGCCTGCCCCAGCGAACATGCCAGGGTGTTTCTCTCAAAATGAGTCTCAACCTACCCCAAAAATTGTTGTTGTCCTTGTGGTGTCCCTTTCAACCAGCCATCCAAATAGGGAAGGCAGCCCACCCTAAAATGGTTGTTGTTTCCTTTTGGCTCCCTTTTGCGACCCCAAAAGAGGTCCACGCGGAGAACCCCCTTTTTTCTTTGTAGAATTGTAGATCGTCTTGCATTTCCTCCCCAGAAGGAGCACACGCAAATGGCACCGCCATTTGCAAATTGAAAGAAAAAACAAAACCCCAAAACAAAACCAGCAAAACACCCACACACAACTGAAGCCAACACTCATTGAACACAGCAAAGCCCGAGGCTCCAGACGAAACCCCGGACGGCGCCTAGGGAACAAAAACACAGCCAAACTTAAAGGACACTCACCTTAAAGCATTGCACATGGCAACTAGGGTCAAAAACCAGACAAACAAGCAACGCAACCTAGACTCAAACACCGCGAAACAAAAATAAACCAAACAAAAACATCATAGCAGCATCATACCAACGCAAAAGAGGGTTTCTCAACACATTGAGGCCCTACAACCGGTTGCTTCAATCTAAAAGAGCGCCACCGGTTGAGAACCCCGAACTTGGCACCATACCACGGAATCCCACCGTTGTGCTGCTCAATACGGCAATCCATCCCAGAAATTGTGTTCGCTTGGAGTAGGTACCTGCCCCCCCCCCCCAAAGCAGAGTCCGTAGAACCGGGGACTACTGAGTAGCCCTAACTTCCAAGAGAAGAGCTTTTTAGGTTCAGCTTCTCCTTGGCGACGGGTTCAAATTCCCAAGGCACCAGTCCAAACCCCGTAATTACCCCCAGTGAACATCCCAATCCAACCACTAAACTAGGTTCTAACATGGGTGAATTCACCCACCCATCCAAAATGGGGATCCCCTTGGCTTTGACCGCCACGGCCAAACAAAAACACCACCCACCGACCCCTCCGCTCCCCGCTCCCCGCTCCGCTCCCTCCGGCCCCTCCGGTCCCTCCGCTCCCCGGGCCGTCGCTCTTCAGGTTGAAGCTGTGCAGCTCCGAGGCCGCCACGCCGAGCGCCAGGATTCGCCTCACGCTGCCGCAGCTTTGGCCCAGGCGCCCCGCCACGGGGTCCACCTAGAAAATGGATCTGGGCGGGGGAGGTGGGTGGGCTGAAGGGGGGGGCTGGGGGTGGGCTGGGGGCGCTTTTCAAGAAAAACAAGCAAGTTGCCTCTAATAGGAAAAATGAGAATTGCCAGGGTTTGATGTTTTATTGGGGGGTTCCAAGGGAAGCCAATCAACTGCTGGTGGTTTCCTCTTGCCTTACACTAAGGTTAAACTACGGGAACTTTAGAATTGCCAGGGTTTGATTGTTTTGGGATGGGTTTCTGTTTAACCCGCCGCGTGCTCTGCGGGCCCGGGTGTTGTCTCTGATCGTTTGGCGAGTTTTGGGGTTGGGGGTTGGGAGGCTGACTGAGAAACCTCAGGCAAGCTGGCCAGGGAGGAGTGGGTGAGACCGCGACCAACTGGCCGCAAGCACCTCCTCTGAATTATTATTAGTTGGATTTCGGTTGCCAAAGCACTGGGAGGTCCTTGGCCTGGCTGTGAGCACCTCCAAGTTTGCCTATGGGTAAGAAGCCCCAGAAGCAGAAGAAGAAGAAGAAGAAGAAGACAAATGTGGCATTCCCTTTAATCTCCTCTTAAAACCAACAACAAGCCGCTTCCCGAAAAAAGACGGTGACCAGCATCCACGTTCTGAAGAAGATGGCCCGTGGGCTCGTGCTTTCAAAGCCGGGCTCACTCCTGGAAGTGCGGCAGTGGCCAAGGGAACTCCCTGGGCAGGAGGTCGAAGAACTCCTTGTGCAGCCTACATCTAGGACCCAAATCGTGTCCTGCTTAGATGGTCTGGGAGTTGGCTGAATGGCTAGAAACCCTGGTTGCAGCCCACTTGCACTGGTTGTAAGTCCCCTGTAAAGCGGGTTTATAGCCATTCAGCTAAGTCCCAGCTCATCTAAGTAACACCCCCCCAACCACCGCTCTCTTTTTGGACAGTACAAAGGGGATTTTGGACATGGGAAACAGCTGTTTCAGGGAGCTTTAGACAGCAGAACAAGTGTTCTTTCAAAAAATGAACTCAGTTGGGCAATTAGTTTGCTCAGTGCGGGGAGTATTTGTCTTCATGCAAACCTGCACGTAAGTTCCATTTGCTTCAAATGGAACATAAGCCCACTGGAAACAAGACATATTTCCAAGAACAAGGGAACAAACATATTCTTCAGCAAATGGAAGGTAAGATGCTCCCCATTGACCCATACTCCTCCTGGCTGCTCGGCAGCGGCCGCGCCCCGGCCGCATGCTGCGCCAGAATCAGCGCCCCGGCCATAAGACGAGCCATCGGCTCGTCGCAAAGGGGACGAGGGTTCCTTATATGTTCCCCTTCGCCGGGAAGAGCTTCTCTGGTTCCATACATGTCCCCCTTACATGTCCTCTCAATGACGCATGGCAAACCTTTGACATCTGGTTTAAGAATATAACCACACCCTCCACCGAAAATAATTAAGCCCAGCCCACCACCCCAGAAAGAAGGAAATGACAATAAAAAAGATGATCCGGTCTTCCAAAAGGTGATGTCGCCCAAAAAACGATCATTCATATCAGACCCTTGGCGGGGCCGCGACCAGGTGAGCCTTGCAACCGGCCTGCTGCGGGCGGGTTTTGGGGTAGACACGGTATGTGTGTGTCTCATATTTTGGGGGACCCCAAAACTGGTGGTTTTCCTTCTGGTTTCCTTGAGCCCTCTCAAGGAAACCCTTGAGAACCACAAAAAAGGGGGGAACCCCTGAAGAAGGGGACAATTCATGTGGAGTTCCGTCACCTAGTCCGTGGAAAGCAAGCGTGGCACATGGAATGCGGGCGCGTGACGTGCCTGAAATTCTCTGGACTTCTCCAGAGTACTCCTTCTTCCAACGGCCACCATACTGTGGATGGACGAAATTCGTTTCGAACCACCGAAGAAACCCAACGGAACAAGTTGATTCCCCTGCAAATACCAAACAAAAATAATTTCATTTCGTGGCAGTGACCACGATCCGGTTGATTTGAGTTTGCCTCATGACGAAATCCCCTTCGAGTGGTTTTCCCTTCACGTTCCCGTAAGACACACCTCGAATCAGAGACACCCTGTCTTTGGATCACCAGCCCCCGGTTGGTTGGCTTCCCATCTTTAGACTCACTGTCTGAGTGGATGGCTCAAAAAAAGTCCAAACTTTATGTTTACCACTAAAATGGTCTTCCCAAGAAGTTTAAAGTTCATGAACCCAGGAAGTGAGTAGAGCCATTTCGAGTGGGGACCGCTTACGGCTCACCCGTCCAGTCTCGGCACCTGCGTGGTCCACTGGACTTCCAGCGCTGCCAGCTCCTGAAGCACTCACATCGAGGACCCCATGACCTCACCAGTGCCGACCATATGGGGGCTCAAAATTAAACAGGAGGGCAAGCCACCTCGCAAATAGATGCCCTGAAGATTGCAAGGGGAACAGCAGAAACTTTCATCAGTTATTGCAATCCAACAGAGGTTGTGGCTCACTTGCAATCAATTGGGAAATCCATAGTGTCCCGAGGTTAACCCCCAACAGGGATCATATTTCTGCTTTGGGGTTTGGACTGATATCCGGGGAAATCTTTGATCCTTTCCTGACTTCCTTCCTTCCCTGCTTCCTCCTGCCCTGTCAAATGCGTCGTGTGGCTCTCCAGCTGCTATGGCTTATGATGCCTATGTTTGGGAAAACAATGCTTCACATGGCCTGTGCCATGTCCCTTTCGAGCCTTATGACGTATCGTCATTTTTGCGGGGAACTGACCAGCATCGACGATAACCCAAGCGGCTTCGACTCATTCCCCTCCTGTCCACTCACATGGACTCGCCAAAGAACCCCCTTTAAAAGGAATAAATAGGCTTCCAGAACCCCGAAACGTCAGGTTCCATGTTAGTGAACCAGGACGGTATTCCGAAAGCAAACCGGCGAAATGTCAAGGACCGAACCAAGCCTCCAGTTGCCCAGTGCGAAGGCTCGTCATTTCCTCCACCTGCGGCGGAGCATTGCCTTAAGATTGGGACCATCTCGTGCCACACTCAAAGAAGCAAACTCCAGGCGCAAAGAACCACTGCCAAAAAATGCAGTAAAAACCGCATCCCCTCTAGGAGAGTGAGTTGCAATCGCTCCCGCCCGTGCTGCTCCGAGCAATCTGGTTGAACGTATCACGTTGCCTCGCGGCCACCCCAAATGCCCGAGGTGAGAGTTCATGGCATGACCCGATGATTAGACGGGTCTAAGTTCACATTGATTCTTTGGCCGCTCTCACCCCTCATGGCCGCAGCGGCAGCAGCAGCTACAACCTTGGTTCCCTTCCCTTTGATCGATGCTATTGTCGCTTGCCAGTTCCCAAAAAAGCAAAACAATCACTCACTCACAGAATGCAACTTGTTCCCCTCGAAGGAGATGGGACTACTGGCTTCAATCACGGGATTCCCAACAGGCATCCTTCACGAACGAGGGGGAAGAAGACCTGCCAGTCCCAGCAGATTCCAAAGCAAAAAAGGATTTAGCTGTTTTTTTAGGCTTGATCAACTTCCACAGTGGATTGGCCAAGAACAAGTCTAGACTCAAGAAGTGAGTCCACGCGAATCCAGGAAGGGCCCCTTCTCCTCCCCCAACCAAAACTTTCCCCAGTTGTTCAGTACCAGTTTTTTTGTGTTGACCATTTGTGGGGAAGGCATCAAGCAAAAAAAGGACTTAAGAGTTGGTGCTGAACAACCCGGTCCGCCATGTTTGGACCCCTCAAAAGTAGAAGATTCGAAGCCACCAGTAAATTGCAACAACTCCACTCCCAACTTTTATGGAAACCTCATATCCCCCCGTACCATACGGGGGAGCAGGCTGGGGCTGGAGGTCCCCCAATTCAATTTGTCCAAGGGAGAATCGGGTGCCACACATGGAGATCTCCAGGGGTGAATTCCAATTCTACGGGGGCAGGTGGGGATCACCAGTAAAATGCAACTCGGTTGCTTTCTGCCCCCTGCTAAAAGTTTAACTTTTAGTGGTTTAATGGAAGACCCAATCGTTGGCAACAAGTTAAAGTCCCAACATCCAAGCAAAATGCACCAATGGCAAGAACCGCACGCCAACGTCTTGGCCAGGTTTCCCTTTATAAACCATCAGTCCGGTGAGGGTCAGGACCCCCAGCCCCAAATCGGGCACCGAATGTGGTGCCTGTTGGGCCTTCATCTCCGCCACCTGGCGGTATGGCGGATGCGTTTCTTTGAGTAAGCCAGTTGTGATTGAGTTGTGATTGACTGAAAGGGAAACCAAGGGCGAATAACGCATTGTTTCGTCTTTCTGGGGCAAGGTCCTGACGCAACAAGGAACTGACGTCAATGAACTCAACACCGCCAGGTGAATTTCAATGTTTGCCAAGGAGGAGGCACAAATCACTTGCGCATGGGCATCCATCCCAAGGAGCGGTAAAGTGGCCGGTGTGCAAGCCCACGGCTGGACTTTGCTTTCAACAATTTTCCATCTGGGTGTCTTGAAACAGGGGACCCCCCCAAAACAATAATATGTAGTGTGGTTTTGGGGTTTCCCGAAAAAACAAAAACACAAAAAGGCGCCCTTCAGGAAAAACACACACACATCTTGAACTTCCAAAGCTCAACATGGAGGAAGCTCTAGGTGAAAAACCCATGACACCTCCCCGTCCAGCGTTGTGATGTTTGAGTCGCATCCTGCAGGCTCAGTCATTAGTTCCACCCTTTCTGGGATGCGGGACTAACTGACAACCACCGAGTTGGAACTTCTTTGCAGGCCGAGTCTGACATCCTCACTCACCGCCACTTGAGAAGGCGGGCTCGTCTTCACATGACCTCTATGAGCCAAGGGGATTCTTCAGGTTCATTTCTTGGGGCTTGGGACTCAAGAAGTGATGTGAGCAAACCTCATGGCCCGGCGCGAAGAATTCTGGGCGGCCGTGCCAGCTGCGGGTTCTTCGCCTGAAACGAAGAAATGGGCGCTGGACGGGTTGGGGAAGGCCCGCCCCTTTAAACCTCCAAACTGCCAAAGGGTCACTGGGAAACAAACAACCTGAAGCAAACTTTCGCAGCTGGGGTTGTCCCTAAACAGGCGGTAAAACAGGATTCTATTCACCCCAGGCACTCCGATGACAGCTGGCTCGTGCGTATCTCTGCTTGGCTGGGATGAGCAGCAGTGCTCTTAATTCCGGCTTGTCGGCCATTCGCAGCTGCTTTATTATGAATCAGCGAGTCACCCTGTCTCAGCCAATTTTTGAATGCTGAAATGAAGCACTGATCTTTCAAGGGGGTCCCCAGGGCGCAAGAAGCGCCTGTAAGCATTGGATCCCGCCGTGTCTGCCAATTGCAGCCACTTCTGCGAACCCCGTTTGCTCCTTTGCTCCTGCGCAATGTTGTCTACTGCGAGTGTTTCTACCACTGGCTGTCTGGCATGGAAGAAAGCAAAAGCTGGTCGCAGGTGCTCAAGGTGGCGAATGCTGGGACATGTGCATTCAGAACTGAAGGTACTTGGCGGTCCGCCAGGCTCCGGGGCTTGAAACTTGTCACCTGGGCTTGTTGCGCTGTGTTGATTCTAAAGTAGTTGGCTGCAGCCGAGAAGCTTGAAAACTTAAAACCTTGACTGACCATTTGATATGCTTCCAGTTGACAAGAAAACAGCACAACCTGTTTGCGTTTGAGCATGTTGCACAAAATGGTTGTCAGCCAGCCGTTCTGTAATCCTCCTGTGATCTTCCTCAAGTCTTCCTGCATTTCTCGTTTGTACGGTCTTTCCAAAGCCTTCTGCGATCTACCCGCAGTCTTGAGTCTTCCCGTCTTTCTGCCAGACTTGCAGTCTTGTAGCCTACGTGACGGCCATCGGTTCGGGGGAGATTCCAGGGGACACTCCTCGGGCTTGCTTCCTAGCTGTGCTTCTGTCTAACTAGGAGGTTGAAGAAACTAAGTGTTGCTTTCATGTTGCTAACTAACAAGAAGCACAAACATGTTCATGAGAAGGCCAAGGGACAAAGTGCCGAAATATATGGGGGAGAAATGGAAGAGGAAAAGGGAAGAGGACAAGGATGGAAGTTTGATTTTGCCAAGCAGGTATGGAAGACTTGACCGCGCCCTTTTTGCTTGATTCATTGCTCCACGTAATCATGAATTTGAGACTTTCCATTCTGAATCGATCGCCCCTCTCTAATATTCTCGCTCGTTTTCCCCCCATTTCCCAAGCACTAGAGCCCCGTGACCGCGCACGGCACATTTGGAGGAATCTTCCGCCATAGCTCCCTTTTGCGCATTTCCGCATTTCCATACAGCTTGATCGATCAATGTCGACAGCTAGTCAAGAGTAAGCAGAGCTCGTGAAAATCTGAAAATCGGCCGGACTGTTCTATGCTAACAATGTTTTGCACTGCACTTGCTCATGTAGTGGATATCTGGAGAACGACTGCTTTTTGGGGACTGCCTTCAAATGACAGCCCGCAAGTCTTTCAAGTGGGGGCCAAAAACTCGGCAACTGAACCGGCCATTCCGAGCCGTGAGAAAGTACTCAATGTACTTGCTTGAAAAATGCGGTGAACACTGACGAGCAAACACAACGTTGACCCCGGCTTAATAAACCCCTGTTTATTAATATGGGTGTGTCCCTGGTTTTAGTGGTGATTCATCACTTCTGGAGGGGAACACCCCCCTAAAAAATAAACAGGCGTTTGTTAATCCGGGGTCAACATTACTGCCTGGCAGATTGACACACCTCTTGGGCGATTTCAATTTCAAGGCCACCATTGCCTTTTTGTTATTTTTTCCCATCGGAAAACAATAAACGGGCCACTCCAAAACCAAAAAACAACTCAGTCATAGGCTGTCTCTTTTGCCGAGAGGACAAACTGTTGGACGAAGCCCGGTAGTCGCCAAGATGATAAGTGGTACTAACCTCGTTAGAAAAGTGGGTTCGCCTTGGGCGAATGCAGCACTCAGATTCAGGACAGGAGCTGTGAACAGTTTAGGCATCCCCCAAATCGCGAGACAAACAAACGTAGTCCTGTCCGGCCTCTGACCAACTGCTACCCTCACAAATAGTTTGCCGGACACTTGGCTTTGAACCAAGACTGGCCTCAAGGATTAGTAGCAGCCGGAATCACTTTGACAGCAAGCATTCCACGTGGGCAGCAACCACCAGCAAGTGCACGGTCTTCGCTGAGCAAAGATATGTCTGGCTCTTCATCTGCCAGGTCAGAGAGATTATTGTACTGGCTCTGCTTGTTGAGGGCAGCCACATATTGTTTTGCGTAGGCGGTGGCCATCTCTCGCGTTTCCACCGTCTTGCCCACGCATTCGCAAAATGCCGTGACCTCCAAGGTGACCAACCTGGAAATGTCCTCCGCCACCAAATCTCCAACATGAATCCACGGGGTCCACAAGCACATCTCTGCCACCCACAGCTTGCAGAGCTTCTCTCTCCGTTCATCCTCCCTCATGTAGCTATGAGCCCCACTGGCAAGGAAATAGCATGAACCAGCGATGGACCCAGCAACAAAAATGACGTCCCCAGCGGCATGCACTGCATGTGATATGCTGTTCAGCGCCACATCGCGCATTACACGCACGACGTGCACGCTGTCATGCTGCAGAAGGCTGTTTAAAAAGGCACACTGAGCCAAGAAATCTCTATGTCTTTGCAGCTGCAACTCAGCCTGCAGGGGCTTTGACAGCAAGCTCAAAAGGGGGAGCTGATCCATTGACCGCGCTTCGTCCTGAGCTGCAAATGTGTATTGCAAGAACGTTGTGATGCGATGCGACAAATCTGCGTCTATGCAGTTGTGTGTCAGGAAGCGTTGCAGCAATCTTAGTTGCTGACTCTCCTCATCCTTCATCTTCGCAAGACGTGCCATCAGAGATGTCACCGAGCTCACCAGCGTGGAAAAAATGATCAACGAGCAGAAAGTCACAAACACCGAGAAGACGCGCTCGTTCAAGTTAACGGCGTCAAGACTTACATACCCAACACCAAGATTTGCAAATGCCCACTGAAGGGCTGTGAAATAGACAAACGCGGTGGACCGTCCTTCCATCTGATACTGCTTGACCCAATTGTTCACACCCTCATCTGCCGTAGCAATACCGTACCAAAAGCAGGCTATGGTATGGTTGATGAGGATCAGCCGCACGACTATTTTCAATATGCTGTAGTGGATTGCGGCGGATTGCGAACCGAGCAAATCTTGCAGAGATTCAATGACGGCCCCTGCCTTGACCAAACGACCCATGCGAACCAGCCGAAGAAATCGCAGGGTCCTGATTGTCTTGGACAAACGAGCGACACCAGCGGTGTCGTCTTCTCTGGCGTTCAGCCCGACGATAAGCCAATCAACACTCACAACAGCTAGGTCAAATACGAACCATGTTGTAAGGTAATGTTTGGCAGTCTTCCGCAGGTCCAGGATCAAAACCCCAGCGTCATAGTAGCCCGTAACGAAGTTTAGGAGCAAGTCAAAGTTCCAGTACAGCTGGGTGACCCATGACATGACATTGGTGAAGGTTACCTCTGGCAGGCTGAAAAAGCGTAAAGGGATCACGAACATGTCGTAGCACAACAGCGTCATGCCCAGAAAGTTCCACCACGCTCTGTAAGGACTGCCCGGGCGCTGCATCATGCGCAGTCGGGCGGCACTTGCGCTGGGCATGTGCTGGTCCTGGAGGTGGTTTGAACTTATCATGACACTTGGCCTGCGAACTTGTGCTTGGCGATGCTGGAAAGACTCTTCGTCTGTAACTCTCAGCCAGAATTCCCTCACGTTGAGGGACAGGTTCATTTCTTGGCGGCTCTCCTCCTCGGACGCGTTGATGCGCCCTGCCTGCTGGATGGCTGAGCGCAAATCCTCCAAAAAAGGCGCGGAATTCCAGCGGGCCGAGACTGCAGGGGTGACAATGCCCGGCAGAAGGTTGAGCTCGCTGGCGGGTGGATGCGGTGGGCTAGGCTGCTGGGCGTTCTCACTACTCCAAGAGTGCGGCTCAGCCGAATTGGCCGAAAGTGCCGGTTTGGTTCTCGGCCGCAGGCTCTGGGAGTTCGTTGGCATGCCCGGGAGCAGCCGGAAGCCAAGGCTCAAATCCAAACCCTTCTTCTGTGAGGCATAGCACTCACCCAACCGGCGGTGCAAATCCCAAAAGCTGTCCTCCATCTTCCGGACAGCTAAGAAAAACTTGAGATCACGACGGCCTCCGGCATGGATCATGTCGGATGCTTGATCATGCTGGCCAGGTCAATGTGAGCGGAAGCATGCATGCTCACATTCTTCATCACGGTTGCTGCCCCGTAGCTAGTTGATAAAAGGGCGATATTTGCTTGACGGGTTTGCGCACCACAACCTGAAACCATGGGCATGAAACCGTCACGACTTTCTTGTTTTACCCGGTATTTACCTTGGGGAATTTCTAATCAACTGTTTGGTTTCTGAAGGGTGCGAAAGGGATGGGCTTTGCAACCCTCCGACATATGGACTCCCACTTGGGGAGTAGGTACGTCACGCGGCCCTTTCGGGTTCCTGAGGGTCCTTGTGCGCCTTCAGGGCCGCGAGGCGCGAGGCCTTGGTCTTGGCGTTCTCCTAGGCAAAGGCTGAGGCTATGGACCATAGCCGCATGGGGGGCGTCTTTCTTAGACAATCGGACCCCCAAGATGGAGGGTTGTCTCATCATATTCCTTTGAAACCACCCAAAAAAAGGCACACCCATATGGGTCCATGGGTCCATGGGTCCGTTCTTTTAGTTAAGTTCAAAGTTCGAACCAATCCAGTTCGGAGGGGGGGGGGCCATTTCGCTGCTGGCAAATGGCAGCTAGATGGTTTGCTCCTCTAAAGAGCATGATGGGACCTGGCAACAGCCCTGGAAGCGTGCGTTTTGTTCTACAGGGACTCCTCTGACAGGCTCCATCCTTGCCTTACTGAAGATCTTGCCCGGGTGAATTATAATATTTCACCACCTGAAATAAGGTGGTTGGGGGGCTATTCCCCACATAAACCACCATTTGGGGTGAGGCCGTGTGAGGTCGTTATAATTCACCCAGATCTTGTTGGTTCTGGCGGCACAGTCAACGGGCAAACTTCCCTGCCAGGCCACTCTGCCCAGCTGAGCACTGCTCAGTCTTACCCTTTGAGCGCGGGTCTCTGCATTTCTTTGAAGGGAACTGATGTCCCTAACCAGACCTACACAGAACTCCTGGTATCTCCTAACGCTCCCAAAGGCTCCCTCGTTAACAGCAAACAGCGAATTTGGATTCCTCCAGCTCCGAAATGGATGGCTCCCTGTCAACCACCAGCTAGTTGCCATTTGGATTGCAAACATCGTAGCCTTTGATCCGCTCAAAGAAACCTGCCATGTGTTTGCTCACCTGGATCGGGCCTCCAATTGACGTGTCCGAAGTTGGCTTTCAGAAGTTCGAACATTTGTCACTTCAACCTTTAGCTTTCCAGACCTATTCGCCTGGTCAAACCGGCAAAATCATGAGCCCTGCGAGTGAGGGAGAGGGAGGGACCCCAAATAAGCCCCAGCTAAGGCCTTCTGTGCTCAGTAAGGGCTTGTTTGGGCTCCAGGTCCCCACCCCCATCCCCCCCACCCATCCTCCCCCCCCACCCCCCCCCACCCACCCCCCCCCCCACCCCCCCACGCCATGTGCAACAACCTGATCCCCTTCAAGGGCGCCCGCGTGAACGGACCGCTCCTCGGTGGTCGCCAGCTTCTCTCGCACGCTGCCCAGCTGGGAGAGCATGGGCGCGGCCTAGAGGCAAATTTCAATCACCTGTGCGTCGTAAAAGCTGACTTAAGTTGCATTTGTTGGCAACCTCCAAACTTGGTTGCTGCTGACCCCCCTGCATTTGTTTTTTAGACTTTTTTTGGGGGTTTAGTGAAAAACGCAACTTGATGGTCCAAAAAGTTAAAGTCTAAAGATCCAACCCAATAGCAGTCAAGCAAAAATCTGTGATTTGAACATACGATGGAGCCTTTTGTCAGGATGATGTGTTGGGGGGGACCCCAAAAATTACGCACACTACGTGCCACGTCCCTAACCAGAACTCCTGGTAGCTGCCAAAGGCTGTTTCAAGGGAAATGAATGGTACCTTATTTTGAGACACACCCACATGAGCATATGACCGATTGCGAAAATGCGACAACCCGAGGTCAAAGGTCATTCCGAACAAGAGCAGCTGTTGCAGTGACACATACTCACATACACAAAGTACAAAGTGTGCAATGGAATTCTGCAGTAACATGGAGGATTCCGTAAGTCAGCACGCAATCGTTGGATATCCCTGCGCAAACAGTCGGAAACAAAAAACAACTCCCTGACTCGGTTGCTGCAACGACCCCTCCGCAACAAGTGTCTACTTGTTGTGGGTTACTTTTTGTGGGTCCAAGTCGGAACTTCCGACCGAGTGCATCGGCCAAAGGTCAGTAACCGAGCCGTAGATGGAGGTGCCGCGCCGCCGTGCCCCTACTACTTCACACTGTGTTCAAGGGGGGTTGGCCTCGGCTTCTGTGGGTACCCATACCCGACTAAAGTACTACCAGAAACTCATAGATGTGGTACCCCAACCCCGCTTTCACCGATAGAAAGAGGCCCATCCAAAGCCCTGGCAGTCTGTTGCTTCACGTGAATGACCCGCTGTCGAACTTGCCCCAGACAAATGGGTGCGACAAACAGTCAACTGGGGTGGTCGTCCATTCCAAATAACTCCGGGCGAAACATATGCCAACCCTCCCCCCCCCCAAAAAAAAAAGGACGTCTTTCACGGGCTTCTGGACTGCCAAGCCAAACAAGTCACCTTAGGCCAACTGGTGTTGCTCAGAGCAGCGTTTCTGGGAGTCTTTGCAAGAGGGTTGGGATTGTGCTCGGCATGTTCTTCTTTTCACCACTGGTTTTCTGCATGTTCTGAGCATGGTCTGTGATTTTAAAGTGGTCATCCCCACGACTATCCCATGGTAAAGGAAACTCCTTCGCTCGCAAAAACAATTGTCCTAAAACACAACATGTTCATATATACATCCCCAGCCATCATACACATACACCCATTCATTTGACATTCACTTAGTTGTGTTTTGTTTCATATACATTGATTTGTTTGTTTGTGAAATACCCGCAGGGGCTGCCATCTTGTGGTTTCTCCGGGGTGTCTTGCAACCTCCCAGGTGCCCAGACACTACTCTCCAGCCGTGACAGCTCGGCCTTGGCAGGAGTTCTTCTGCTTTGGCCGTGGAAGCGCTGTGGAAGTGGCCGCTTTGGAGCTTCCCCAAACGAGGGTCTAAGTACCTTCTAAGGAGGTACTTAGACCCCCCAAAAGCCATCCTCATGAAGTACTTGGACCCTCTAGGACAAGGAAAGCCTTCGTCTTCCGAAACCCTCCAGTCGTCAGCTTTCGTGATTTAGGGAGGGTAAAGTTTTTCAAACTACCCTCTTCTTCTTGAGTGGATGGGACACAAACAGTCCACACTTTTTTCACTAAAATGGTCCACACCCCAAAAAGTGTCAAGTCCAGGAACTCAGAGAGTGATTTAAAGGTTTTCAATGTAGCCTCACTTCCACGTTGCCATGGAACGCAACTCAAAACGTTGGAAGTCAAAACGTTCCTCTACAGGGCCCTCGGTGGTAAACGGGAGGGTACCTGCGTTTGGACGTTTCAACGCGCCGAAGCCGCATCACACGGAGCCCCCTAGAATAAATAATGCATCGGTTTCCTTGTGGGGTCCCTTTGAAACTAAATGTGGCACCCACCTCCAAGAGGTTAAACGGACACTCCGAAAGGCAATCTTGGCTGCTCTCCACAAGAAAAATGCATGAATGCATCTATGTTTTTGTTCAAGTCTTGCTTAGTTGCTGGGTGCTCGCTGCTTTGCCTACTTGTGTTTGATGTGTTGCTTGCCCATCGCGCAGATTCCCTTGGTGTGGAAATCTCTACATGTCCGAACAGGATGAAGAGAAGTCTCCTGATTGGGAACTGCTAATTGGCAAGCTTTCGCCATATGGCGGCCATTGTGGCCCCAAAATCAATGGCCTTCTCTGACACAGATTGAAGGAAGCCACTGTTGTTCCGATGTCCACTTGACATCTCAAAGTGGGTCGCCAAGCAACGAGGTCCTCTGACAACATGTCGTTTCCGGGTAAGATGCCACCCTTGAGGGCAAGTCGAACTCTGATCAATGAAGCTTTCAGCAAATAGGCGGCTTGCCAAGGACTAGGGAGCCCACCTGCAAACATCTATGGGAAGGAGTGTCACTGCCACGTGCTCGAGCCCCTCAGCTTTCAACATGTGGGTACGTCTTTTCGGGTCGAAAAAAAACATCAATCCTTAAAAAAATGGCCCTCCCGTCTTTTCTTTAGGGGAGCCCCTTTCGGGTGGTGTTAAAGGGAAACCCAAAGGGAACGACACACCCATGTCAGTCTCGGCCGTCCGACGCAGAGGAACCCCGCAGAACGGAAGCGCCTGAGCCAAGTGCTTGCAGGCTGGCCAAGGATGCACGTAGTAGACCCACCTCAGCAAAACCAGCCGGGTGCTTTTAAGCACTAGAACCTGAGTCATGACATGCGGAGATTTCAAGGGAAAGCTTCGAATTCTTGATTGCCAGTCGCGACTTTGGCAAAGGCTCCAAGCTGCAAAAAAACCGGGCGTTCATTTGTGACTGGTTCAGTCTCAGATCGCTGAGGGATGTTTGTGCCGAAGCCCGGTCACAATCTTCTTGCTGCCAGCTTGTGGGCAAAAAAAGGAAAAAGCAAGCAAACACACAAACAAACAGTATCAACTCTTGCGCTTACTCTCCTGCGTATCAACATGCCCTCAGATGAGCAGCGTTTTTTTTGGTGGTTCGCGGGGCCTATACGCTGCTCTACGCGGAAGCCTGCGCAAGCCTACGCCGCTGCAAAGGGTGCCTACGCGAGCACAAGTCAGCTTCCAGGTGCCTCTCGCGGACGCCTACGCGGGAAGATGTTCAGTTCAAGTGTTGAAGTGCAGTTTGGCTCCATCTAGACAATCACAACTTTTCAGTACAAGAGCAGCTTTGGCAGCTCCAGCTCTAAGATCCCCATTGCAATACAATTGAGAACCCACATCTGTTGAAGGATCTGGCTGGTAGAACAGGTCTACGTAATCTAAATGCCTTGAAAGCCTACGCGAAAGTCTACGTGAATGCCTACGCGGGGCCTACGCGGAGCCTACGCGAACACTGCAGAACAAACGGAAAGAAGGCAAAAAAGCGAACTCCGTTATACTTGGCAAGCAGCATTGAGCCATGATTTGTTCAAACGCCTACGCGAAAGAACAGCCTACGCGAGGGTTGACACAACAGCCTACGCGCAAAAGCCTACGCGAGCCTA